GGAGCCATGGGGGGGGTGTCTGCGGCTTCCTATTGGCTGCAGGAGCTTCCTGAAGCCAATAGGAAGCCGTGGCTGTGTCCCAGCAGTCAGTCTCCACACAGAGCAACCAGCACGGTGCGCCGGTTTAGCTCCACGCGGGGACTGACCGAGCAGGCAGAAATAGCTTCCTGTCTTCCGGGATGCAGCCATAGCTTCCTATTGCCTGCAGGAAGCTCCTGCAGCCAATAGGAAGCCACAGACGCCTCCCCCCCCCCCATGGCTCCGAAAGCCAGCGGGGAAAGAGCGGCGGGTGTGTGCATATGCGCACGGGTGCGCACGCTCCTACAAGCGTGCAGGCGATCCGGCCCGCTGGTGGAAAAGTTTGCCTACCCTGGCACTAGTAGGTGAGTTTAAGGTTGCAGACTTGGGATATGTGCCAAGTTCATTTCCTCCCGTCCGCTGCATTTCAAGCCACATTTGCACAGTACACATCACAGAGGAGGCGGAGATGTCTTCGCCCAATATGCATGGCCTTTGTGGTTTCCTTGCCCCTGCAGCCACCAATACCCCACACCTTTTCATGAAGCTGCCATCTGTGTATGCGCAACCATCTGCACGTGTGTGACAGCTGTCTCAAATGTATGAACTGTTCTTCAGTACAACATGAACACAGCATAAGTTTGCTAGTCAGATTGAAGCTGCTTTGAAAAACAATGCATCAATCAGCAGGGTTTGCCAAGACACTGTAGGATCAATATGGATTGTGGCTAACATCGTATGAATGTGGCTTCAAAAACCAGAAGTGAAACTGCACTGGATGTGGAGTAAGTGGTAACATGAACAAACACTTAGAAAAGGAAGGGTAAACTGGAGTGGAACAAACGATTAAAGACACACACACATACACACACACACACACACACACAATCTGCTTGTCTAAAATGAAACACAGCTCTGAGCGCTAATGTGTGCATTTGCAAGTAACATGCACAGTCATATCTCGGGTTGAATGTGCTTTGGGATGAGCATGTTCGAGTTGTGCTCCGCAGCAACCCGGAAGTTACGGAGCACATTACTTCCGGGTTTTGCCACTTGCGCATGCACAGACGCTCAAAATGACGTCACACGCATGCGCAGAAGCAGCGAAAAGCGACGTGCGCGTGCGCAGATGTGCCGTCGCTGGTTACGTTTGCTTCTAGATGCGAACGGGGCTCCGGAATGGATCCCGTTCGCATCTAGAGGTACCACTGTAGTTAGCTGCTGAAATTTCTCCCTTTTCTTTGAAAATACAACCACTTGCAAATTAGGTTAGCTGAACACAAAGTTGCCTTTATAAGTCAAGCATTACGATCAAATTTTAAAATAAACAAAGCTTAGTGCTCCACAATTGTGGATAGGTTTTTATTAAGACTTCAGGAATGAGTTTGAAAATCTGGTATTGTATTTTAAATGTTCAAAGTATGTGCTGAATTCTTTTAAAAACTGAAACTGTACCAAACAGTACATCAATCTCTCTTCCACACACACATTTTATATTTTGCTTTCTTCATGTTCTCAAAGTATAATGGAGCATTCATATAGAGAGGAGAGAGCAGGAAAGAGATTAATAATATATATGCTCACAAGCTGCTTTTCTTCAAAAATAAAGCTTTGAGCTACCTGCAATAAACCAAAGCAAAAATGAAATCACAACAAAGGCCCAACACTGTAAAGGTAAAGGGACCCCTGACCATTAGGTCCAGTCGCGGACGACTCTGGGGTTGCAGCGCTCATTTCGCTTTATTGGCCGAGGGAGCCGGCATACAGCTTCCGGGTCATGTGGCAAGCATGACTAAGCCACTTCTGGCAAACCAGAGAAGCGCACGGAAACGCTGTTTAACTTCCTGCTGGAGTGGTACCTATTTATCTACTTGCACTTTGACGTGCTTTCGAACTGCTAGGTTGGCAGGAGCAGGGACCGAGCAATGGGAGCTCACCCCATCGCGGGGATTCGAACCGCCGACCTTCTGATCGGCAAGTCCTAGGCTCTGTGGTTTAACCTACAGTGCCCACACTGTTGTATATGGTAAACATACAATAAAGCAGAATAAATATAACTAAAATGACATGAAAACATTCTCATGTAGCAGGATTAGGGTATAACTAATGATGAATTAGTTAATAGGGACGCGGGTGGCGCTGTGGTCTAAAACACTGAGCCTAGGGCTTGCCGATCGAAGGTTGGCGGTTTGAATCCCCGCGACGGGGTGACCTCCCTTTGCTCTGTTCCAGCTCCTGCCAACCTAGCAGTTTCAAAGCATGTCAAAGTGCAAGTATATAAATAGGTACCGCTCTGGTGGGAAGGTAAACAGCGTTTCCATGTGCTGCTCTGGTTTTGCCAGAAGCGGCTTAGTCATGCTGGCCACATGACCCAGAAAAACTCTGCAGACAAACGTCAGCTCCCTTGGCCAGGAAAGCAAAATGAGCGCCACAACCCCAGAGTCTTTCGCAACTGGACTTAACTCTCAGGGGTCCTTTACCTTTACGTGTTTAATGATGAATTGTTGTTTCAATTTGATATGTGATTTATTTTTTTTAATAGGATACCCTTAGGTCTGAAATATGGAATAAACATGTATTGAATGAATGAATAAATGGACAAGCCAGCTGAAAATGCCACCAGCAACTTTTAAGAGGCTTCATCTGACAACCAAGGAAACTAAGGCCAAACCAGAGACAATGTTGATCTGTGAGTGCATGTAGGATCTCGCTCCCTCCCCGAAAGCAGACCAGAGGGCAATTTGTGTCAGGCTATGGTGCAAGTGGGAAGCATACAGATCAACCACTCAAGCTGCTATTAACCACAAAGAGAAAAACTTGTAGGGACCCACAGGATGGGTCTTTCTCTCCTCCCCCCAGCCTCATGTTTCAATCTATATGTGAACATTCCTAATCCACATCTCTGTTTCTGGTTATCACAAAAACTAAAAATGTAACTGCAACAAATGCTCTTAAAGTACACTGTTTTACTATATATTTTTCAATGTACAGAAACACACACACACACAATCTCTTTTTTTGCTCAAAACTGGACATGTGCTTCCACAAAGTCAGACGTGTGAATGTTCAGATCCTTGTCTCTATTAGAAGAAATACTGAGAGCAGTTCAGATGGTTTCAGGGACTGAAAATGCTGTGGAAAAACAACAGAACAAATAGCTGGCTGCAAGGACTGATAAATGCCCAGCGTTTTAAAAGCACATCTTTAACATCATTACAGTGGTACCTCGGGTTAAGTACTTAATTCGTTCTGGAGGTCCGTTCTTAACCTGAAACTGTTCTTAACCTGAAGCACCACTTTAGCTAATGGGGCCTCCTGCTGCCACCGCGTCACCGGAGCACGATTTCTGTTCTCATCCTGGAGCAAAGTTCTTAACCCGAGGTACTATTTATGGGTTAGCAGAGTCTGTAACCTGAAGCGTATGTAATACGACGTACCACTGTATAACCTTACAATCAATCATGTTTCTCTTGGCTGATATGAGATGATGCACTGAACCAGGCCTCGTATGCAACAAGTCACACAATCGTTGCCATGAAAGTGTGATATCTTGATTGTTTGCAATGCATGTGTATTCTAGTCTTATGCAAGGCTGGCACAGGGACTGGTGGTGGGAGGAGAAACAGAGGGAGAAGCTAAGGAAGAGGAACATAGCAGGGACCACAGCCTCCAAAACACAACATGAGAGCACAAAGAAGATGCCAAGTAGTGCACAGAATATATGACGCTTGCAAAGAGTAGCATCTTCCAGACCATCCAAGTGTCCCTGTTTTCCCGGGACGTCCCTGATTTAGAGAAACCGTCCCAGTTTCTAATTTGTTCCCAGAATGTCCCGCTACTCCTTAGGCTGCCCCTGCTTTCACTGGAGAATTGTTGGAGGGTATGGAGTTATCTGACCCCCGAGCCATCTGAAGGCAATTCTGTACAGTGGTAACTCGGGTTAAGAACTGAATTCATTCCGGAGGTCCGTTCTTAACCTGAAACTGTTCTTAACCTGAGGTACCACTTTAGCTAATGGGCCTCCCGCCGCCGCCGCGCCGCCGCCGTGCGATTTCTGTTCTCATCCTGAGGTAAAGTTCTTATCTCAAGGTACTATTTCTGGGTTAGTGGAGTCTGTAACCTGAAGTGTTTGTAACCTGAAGCGTCTGTAACCTGAGGTACCACTGTATAGGGAATTTTAAAAAAAAATGTTTAATGTGTTTTTTATTATGTTTTTATATATGTTGGAAGCTGCTCAGAGTGCCGGGGCAACCCAATAAGATGTGCGGGATATAAATAGTAAAATTATCATTATGGAATGGGACATCCCTAATTTTGTTGGCGAAATGTTGAAGGGTATGAACTTCCTTGAATTCTGTTGAGCACTGATCTCAATTGCAATTCTAAAGTGTTGGCCCAAACAATCTACATTGGCCTAAGGATACCTACACCTGTGATTGTTTGTAGATCAGTTAGGGATAGAAAATGCTTAGCCCTCTAATATTAATCCCAGCCAGTTCAGAGTTTTAGTAGGCAAGGATAATAATAATTTAATAATTATTATATTATTTATATGCCACCCAGACACTCTGGGTGGCTCCCAACCAAATGTTAAAAACACATTAAAACATCAAACATTAAAAAACTTCCCTATACATGGCTGCCTTCAGATGTTTCCTAAAAGTCAAGGATCCTAATTCCTCAAATGTAGTTCTCCACTCAGTTAAGTGGGAAAGGCATAGCTGTCAACCTTTCCTTTTTTTGCGGGAAATTCCCTTATTCCAGCACCGTTTCCCGCTGCTATCCCGGATTGTTAGATATCCCGTAGACTGTCACCGGGACAGGTAAGGCTGCTGATCCCTTATTTTCAAATCTGAAAGTTGACAGCTATGGGGAAAAGTCCTTTGGGATGCCTAACGCTATCATATTGTCTGTAAAAGATACCCAACATTGTATGCAAAAGATACCCAGGTAAACGGGTGCATTTGTAAGATGGCATATGAATGAACCAGGAAGCTCAGGGGACTGTTTTGCCCTTTCATGCCTTTTGCACACTTCTGCTGCCTGAACCAGCCCAGATGAGCCTCCCACAGCTCTTGCGGAGAGGATCCAGGACTCTAACCTTTGGACCTTTTGTAATTTGCTCTGAACTTCTAAACCGTTTGGCTCAGCTGCTTTCCCACGGACTATTTAAAGGCAGGTCCAAGTGGGGACGCTCAGACTCTCTTTTGACGCTGGACTGGGAGAAGAAGGAGAGGAGAGGGCAGAGCAGCCACAGGGTCAACATGGGACCCCCACAGCTCTGGCTGCTTCTGCTGCTCAGCAGTGCTGCCTTGGCACGTAAGTAGCTTCTGCCATTTAGCGTGGAGGTGGAATGGAAGGGTCTTCCCTTTTGAAGACAGTCCCTAGATATTGCATTCAATAGAGAAGTGGTGAATAGACTGCAATGGCCCGTTGCTCCCATAAGGGATGGTTATCTATTGATGAGACTGTGGATCTATGAAAATCTGATCTAGACATGCTCACTTTGCTGGTAAATGCCTGGTTCATTCCACATACCAGGCACTCTGTGTTTTCTGCTTACTTAGCTTTTTACCGCTTTAAGGAGGAGGTTGAGGTTTTGTCAGCTGTGGTGTGACAAGTTAGATGGCATTTGGTGACAGAAATACATGTCTGTTGAAAGTTTCCTTCGTGTCTTCATTAGAGTGCATTCTGCTGTTGTTGTTTTTAAACCAGAGTCTCCAATGTGGCTTATGACATTTATCAAAAAAAGTAAATGGAAAGGAATATGTGTTGGACCATAATAAAAAGCCCGTAATTAATTGGAAAATACCTTTATTTGAAACAACCAAATAGTGAATGAGCTTTCCAAGTTCTACAGTTTAAGAATTAAACCAGCGGTGTAACTCACTGTGTAGAGCATTTGATGAAATATGAAGCTACAATCTTGTCCCAAGGACACACACTGAGGCAACAGTCCTATGCACACTTTCTGAGAAGAGTATGCCCCCTTTGGACCTTTCAGGACCTGTTCCAGAATTAAACATGCATGGGACTGGGCCATCAGGCTGTTGCAATCCTAAACACATTTACCAAGGTGCAAGACCCACTAGGATCAGAACAAACACAGAAAGACTTGGGCTTCAGTCCTAACAAGGGTATTGCCCAACCGTTGCTTTTGGAGAGCTTTCCCCTTGAATGAACTAACACTGCTACCTTTGCTTTTTAAAGTCCCATTTAAGTCAGTGGCTTCAAACAAATGGAACTGGGTTCAGGACTGCAGGCTGGCATCCTGATCCCAAACACATTTTTTCCAGATGAAACCTCTGTGGATTTCAGTTGACCTCAAAGTAACGCTATGACCAATCACCTGGGAATTTCGAACACACACAATGTACTCAGTGGGGCTTACTTCTGAGTAGGATTGCTCTGTCAGCATGCTTCAGACTTGGATGTAAAGTTGCTTCAGTAGTCCCATTGTTTGGAGGAAAACAGTGATGTTCTTGCCTCTGGGTTCAGTTTCCCTTTCTGCTTGGTGGACCTGCATTCTTCAGAAAGTGGGACTGCATCTAATACCTTTGCATTCTTCTTCACTCACTAAAGAAAATAGCACTTTAGCAGGATCAGGTTCTCCACTGGGTTTGGGTGCTCAGTGTAACTCAATGCTTTCTCTGGATCAACAACGGGGATTCATCAGCTATTTGATATGCATGTTACGCTACACAAATGGATCTTTTCAACATTTCAGACAGAGAAGCATATGGCAAATCACATACTCATTCTCATAGCAAAACAGCCTTTGGAAAGGAAGCATATTTTAGCAGCACTTACCCTTTCAAAGCTGACAGTTGTCTAAGCAGCCTGAGGCAGAATGTATATTTTGATGGAGAACAGTTATTGACGAGGACAATTTGCAATAAATTCATTTACCAGCCATGCTGCTCTTGAAGGTCTGTATTTTTCAGACTGAAGCATTATCCCTCACCAGCACAATAAATTGTCTACTTGTTAGCAAAGACAAAAATCAGAGTCAACGCAGCTTTATCATTCAATCCACAAACTGCTTGAGTGAACATTTCTGCTCAAGTGGGTCAACAGCAATAAACAGCATGTTTATAAGGCGACTGTACTGTATTTTGTTCCTCTGGTATATAATTGGAACTGAAGTTGTCCTTTGTTTAAATTTCTTTTACAGAAGATGGGCCAGAAAATTCAAATCCAGGCTGTTCAAGTAAGCAATTTTTATCTGGTCTTTTATGCTCTTCTTCTCTTCCTGGTTTCTTAAAACTTCTGCCCAATGAATTCTTGGGTTTGGGTTTCATATGATGCAAACAAACTGGCTAGAAAGGGATGATAGCAGTGGCTACTAACCATTCACTTCCCCAAAGCAGTATTTCTAGCTTTAATTGATACTGGGGTTTGGGGGTCAGGAAGTGGGGAGGATGACAAATATAGACAAAATGCATAAATGTGTGTGATGTGCTTCCAAAATTGTAAAGATCGACAGCCTATCCGAAACATGAAATGGGGGTCAATAGAGACAATCGAATCAGGCTGTTATTGGGTGGTGGTTGTTTTTATTTTGATTATGTATTTTGTGGTTTTATATTCTGATTGTATTCTGTGAACCACCCTGAAAGCTGTGGGTATATAAATTCAATAAAATCAATCAATATTTTTTCTTTGCTGGCTCTTATACCTGCCAAATATGTTGTGAAGCGGGTTTGTGTGCATGGAGGGGGGATTACATGCGTGCCTATATGCCTTCCTGATCCCTTCCTCTAAAACAGCGGTCACCAGCATGGTGCCTGCAGGCACACATATGATCTCAGAGGCTTTCTGTGGCTCTTCAATGCCTCCTTCCACTGCTGAAGTTAGCTTGAAAGAAACACTTTTCCGTAGCCTACAGAACAGGTTGTTCTGTGTTCTTGGTTGTGGCGAGTGTGTGGTATACCTACAACAGTTTCTCTGCTTTGCAAGTGGGCTCATGGGACCCCTGCTGTAAAACATGACCCCAAAATGATACCATTATATTACGGGATCCTTACTTGTGCAAAACTCTTTTGCATTTAGAAACTGTAAAGGAGAAATAGCTTCCAAAATGGTTGTGAAAGGCAGCAGATTTTGTTCTGACTTTTAAACATGGGTTCCCTTTGTCTTGCCTTGCTTCTTGTCAGCTGACTTTTCATTTCTTTATGTTGGAGTGGGGGTTACAGGTGTGGATCTGAGAAATTATGTCTATATTATCCAAGATATACAAATGACGGAACTCTTTGTCTACTTCTTAGCTAGCGTTACCTCAAATATCAGAATGTACCAACCAACGTGTCTTGGCGAATGTCTGAAATGAGATGTGTTTTTGACATTCATATGCAAATTCCATCAATCTCAGACAACATTTCTGAATGCCTGAAAACTCAGTGAATGTTGGCAGTCAGTAGCCTTCCTTTGACTGTCACCATTGCCTTGCAAATGTCCCAAATCACAGACACTCCTTAAAATGTATATAGTGTTTGCTGAAAAATAAAACATTGGCGTGGGTAGCCTGAAAATGACAGGGTCAAGGGATCAGGAAGTGTTTATGAGCAACCTTTGTAAAGTACTTTGTTTGTCCTGAACTCCTTGGCTAGATACTTGATGTTCATTTTGAGGGTCAAAGTATCTGATGAGTTGGTGTTTTTCTCGCTGTCCCTTGATAAGCTCTGCTTTCCTAATGTGGTATTTTAGCACCGTCTGCAGAGACTCATGACTTAGGCTGCAATCATAACCCCACTTACCTGGAAATAGGCCCCATGGAATCCAGTAGGCCCTACCGGGGTGAACTTTGGTAATCTTTCATAATGGCGGCCCTGTGCTAGGCCAAAAATTGATGCCCCCAAATGGATCTTCTCAATTATGGATCTTCACAATTTTGTGTCCTCTGGGCTTGGTGCCCTGTGCAGGAGAGCTGTCCACACTCCCTAAATCTGGTGCCGGGACAAACTTCTGGATAGACCTAGTTAGGATTGCTGCCAAACTTACTTTTTCAACCCAGCTAAGAAACTGTTACGCATTTTGCAGCATTTCTCAGTTTTATCTTGTTTTGTGTATATACCTTCATAAAAACAAAGTTTTTACAGGTGTTGTATCTAAATTTAATAGTACATAGGAATTAGTAAAGTAAATACTAATTCTCTCCTGAATAGCTCAGTGGTTTAGTGAGCATAGGAAAAAGTTGTCTTGGGTGGCGATCAACTATGTTTTACTCAGAGTAAGCCCACTGACATTAATGGACATGATTAAGTTAGGTCCATTGATTTTAATAGGTTTACTCTGAGTAAAATTTAGCTGTGCTTGTGTAAAATGTAGGGCTCATTTAGATTTTGTTTTGTGCTGTGCTTCTCAGTGTTTTTGAGTGGGTTTGGGGGGTTTTTTGGTCTTGGTTCTTTCCCCCAGGAAAGCTCGCATATTACCACTGAATTGGAGCAAACTCCAATCTGCAGAAACCTAATTGCCATTTGCTCCAATTCAGTGGTAATACCTGGGTTTTCCCAGGGAAAGTACTGGGACAAAACCCCCCACAAACACTCAGACATGGACATTTGAAGCTCAGACTTCAGCACAAAAGGCAGTCTGGATGAGCCAGTTGAGCAAGAGTACAGGAGTAGATATGGTTAAATGTCAGTTTGTGGCTGAAACACTAATAGTTGATTGGTTTCACTTAGTCATCCATATGTACCAAGTGGTTTGTTGGCAGAGGCCTGGAATCAGAGATCCTCTTACTTAACTGCAGTGGGCTGCAAAGTAATTGCAATGAACAAAAATCTGTGCAGATGAACAAACGGTTGGAGCTGTTAGCACCGATCGCTTGTTGCAGAGAAAGGGATTGTCTGGAATGAGTTTTCCCCAACAATTCAGCTGCACTTTTAGAACTCAGTGTGCTGGCCATCTTTTCAATATTGTGTTCATGCAGCAAAAGTCCAGTGCTCACAGGTCTGGGTGCAGTAGGTACTCTATTTTTCACCCATCCCTCGGGATCCAGACCTCAGGACCCCTGTTCATGTGAGAGCACATTCAGGACCCCAGTTAACATGCAGGTGTTTGTATCTCTCTTGCTTGAAAATACTGGTTCTGTTTTGTATTATGCTAGCATGTTAACAAATTTAAAAAACACACCTCAGCAAATTCCAAAAGTTCAATGGGGGGGGGGGCAGTTACATTTATTCACTCTGAAGGGATACCTTCACTTTGCTGTCCTTGTCTCTGTATAATCATAGTGAAATGGTGTTGAATTTTGTCTGGTTTCCATTTCTCGACTGATAGGGAAAGAAAGGTGCCCTGAAAGTTGTGAAGAGCCCAGAACAGTGGTTTGAAATCTATTTCTGGATGATGTGGTATATGCTGTCTGTGGTGTTGAGGGTGGATGGATGAGACAGTCCAAAACCAGTTACACAAAGGTTGTTCTGTGCCACCTACTACAGTGGTATCTTGGTTCTCAAATTTAGTCTGTTCCAGAAGTGTGTTCCAAATCCAAGGCATTATTTCCCAGCAAAAGTAATGCAAAACAGATTAATCCGTTCCAGACTTTAAAAACAACAACCCCTAAAACAGCAATTTAACATGAATTTTACTAACTAACGAGACCATTGATGCATAAAATGAAAGCAATCATCAATGTACTATACTATAAAGTAAATAAGACAGTATTGTAGGTGATAAAAATTTAAATTATTATTTTTTCTTACCTGCACTGATGACAGCCATTGTTTGGATGGGGGGCTTTTATCCATTTTCGCAGTCACACAATCAATCAATCAATCAGTAGCTGAACTGGGTTCCACACAGTAACAAAAACAAATTAACCGAAAAAGCCTCAAAAACAAAAACACAAATTAAATAGCAAAAACAAAAGCGCCAAACGTAATCCGTTCCGGAAGTCCGTTTGACTTCTGAAATGTTTGAAAACCAAGGCACAGCTTCTGATTAGTGCAGGTGCCCTGGAAACGATAGCCGACAGCCACATCGGATGTTCAGCTTCCCAAAAACATTCGAAAACCAGAACACTTACTTCTGGGTTTTTGGCATTTGAGAACCAAGGCGTTTGAGAACCAAGTTACCACTGTATCTATATAATGCAGTTGTTCCAAAATAAAAAATTAAAAATTGGGGATGTGCAATAAATTTCAATCACAGAACATGAATTGGTTGCAGCATTCCAAAGCGTGATTCACTTTATAAACTGGCACAAGCAGCAAAAAGGACTGCATTTATGAAGCTTACTTGTTATCGCTTGCAGTTTCTCTAAGGAGATTGGAGACAAAATACATAGATCTTCTTCCATTTTATCACAACAGTCCTGTGAGGTAGTTTAGGTAAAGGGGTGTTCACCGGTCCAAAGTTAGCCAGTGAGTTTCACAGCTGCATAGGATTTGAACCAGTGTCTCTCCCGTACTAATCCGACCCAGCAACCACAACACTACACTTGACTATCTTTCAGTCTAATCCACCTCAGAAGGTTGTTGTGAGATTAAAAGAGACAAGAACGGTTAAATCGGTCACACAGTGAAAGTTCTATGGAAATTCTTATAATACTAATACTGTTGATACCTTGCTTGTTAAATTTGTCATTTCTCTGCCATATACTCTAGTTTCTGGACAATCCATCAATTAATTAAAGCACTTTCACATCACTCCTAAAAGTTCATTGCATTTTACCACACCACCCAGAGCCATTTAACTAATTCATAACAAATACTGAAGTGTGATACAAATAGATAGATTGTTTCCTATATCGAGCACTGATAGTTTATTTCCATTTCCTCATTCAAGTTTCTGACTGCAGTCAAAGGAACTTTCAGTGTGAAAGAGAATACCTCAGTGTTTTTACACCTATGTAGATGTATGCAAAAATTAATAAAAATCTACTTCCTCATGTACGTCTTGTAGGAGACACAACCAGATTTAAGCACTTGAGGCAATATGTCTATAACTATGAAGCGGACACAGCAAGCGGTGTAACAGGAACGGCAGATTCACACACTGGCTCCAAAATTCAGTGTAAGGTAAGAAGGAAGAAGGAACAATGCCAGTTAGAAATAATTAAGAAAGACACATGAACAATGACAAGGGTCTCTGTGGCAAAGTACATACAAATAGTACTGTGGTTAGTGGAAATTTAATATTTGGAGGTGAAGACAGTTGCTCCCCAAAATCTGCTTGGGAAGATGGCTGGCTGCAGTTATTGACTCTAGGCCTCGACTGCGTTTTTTAGATAAAAACAAGCAGGTTATGTTCTTTGGTAACAAGCTTTACTTATTGGTAGAAGCCTGAGAATACTTCTGAATCTCTATTACATCAGTCTCTATTATTTATTTTCTTGACCCCAGGCCCTTGAATATATAGCCCCCAACACCAGCCTCTCTCATTTCCACCATCTGGGAATAACAAGGTTGCCCATTTGATTTGGATTCTAAACCATTCCTGCTTATTTGCTAGTTTATTTGCCCCAAGCCACCTGCATCATTTCTGCTGACACTGCATAGCCATTCACCCAAAACTAAGAGAACATTATCACTGGTTAATAAGAATCCTCAACCTGCAGTTCATTTACTTGGTTGCAGAAAATATTGTGTCGGATTATATCACACTCTTTCTGTTTCAGGTTGAGCTGGAAGTCCCACAACTATGCAATTTCATCCTCAGGACAAGCCACTGCTCCCTCCGGGAGGTGTCTGGAATTGACCCTGAGGGAAGGCCTATACTGAAGAAGTCAAGGAACTTGGATAAGTTTGCTGCTGACATGTCCCAGTAAGAAAAACTGCCTTAAATGATATTTAATGAGCCCTAAGAACACATTAAATGATATTTAATGAGCCCTAAGAACACATTAAATGACATTTAATGAGCCCTAAGATGCGGGTGGCGCTGTGGGTTAAACCACAGAGCCTAGGACTTGCCAATCAGAAGGCTGGCGGTTCGAATCCCCGTGACAGGGTGAACTCCCATTGCTCGGTCCCAGCTCCTACCAACCTAGCAGTTCGAAAGCACGTAAAGTGCAAGTAGATATATAGGTACCGCTCTGGCGGGAAGGTAAACGGTGTTTCCGTGCACTGCTCTGGTTCGCCAGAAGCGGCTTAGTCATGCTGGCCACATGACCCGGAAGCTGTATGCTGCCTCCTTCGGCCAGTAAAGCAAGATGAGCGCCGCAACCCCAGAGTCGGCCACGACTGGACCTAATGGTCAGGGGTCCCTTTACCTTTAAGAACACATAAGTAGGGTCCTGGTGATAATGGCCAAAGGCCTATCTTCTCCAACTTCCTGTTGGTGGCCAACAAGATGCTTGGAGGAAGTCCACAAGCTAGACATGAGCATGTCAGCCCTCTATCTACTTGTTAGCCTAACAAATATTATTCACAGGCCATAGTTCTTGTAATTTCTGCCATCTGTCGAGAATGATAGCAGCTACACAGAGCAGTGGTGTCTCCAAGATGCAACTAGAGAGTGAATTGGTAATTTTAAAACACAAGATACTGGAGCAAATCTAAATGCTCACCTCTTAGTTATCTCTTTAGGATTTTTGAAATCATATTTTTGGACACAATCACAGAGCTGTCAGGAGGGGAGAGGAAATGGAATGGAGTAGAATAGAGTGTCCCAAAGTGCCACCACAATTGAAAAGAATATTGACAAGCTGGAACATCTGCATTTCTTCCCCTAAAGGTTGTTTTTATTTGTTTTGCACAGGTATGCGCTGAAATTCAGTGTTCAAGATGGGAAGAATTTCCAGCTGTACCCTGAGGACAATGAACCTATGCACATACTCAACATCAAGAGAGGAATAATCTCGGCTCTCATGGCGCCCATGGAGACAGACGCCAATTCCCAAACACTCTCTATGGTAAATTTCATAGTCATGCATCACTTTATTTTCCTTTCATCTATGTAGTGAAACCTAGCTGAATGGCCAAGACGAAAGGACCTTCTCCCAATGGAAAAGCCAACCTTGGATCATCAGGGAAGTCTCTCAGTTAGGCTTCAAATGATGTTGGAGACGCACACAATATGTATATTTCCCTCCCCTTAGGATACTGTATATGGGAAATGCGACAGCGACATTGAAATAAGAAGCAGGAAAGGCAGCAACGCGGCAGACATTGCAGTCAGAAGAAACCTGAAATCCTGTGAAAACTTCAGCCCCATCAGAAATTATGTCAGCCCACTTGCCCTCGTTAAAGGCTTGGTAAGGAGCATGAAATGAGAATTAGACTATCCTGTATTTCTGATACTGCCAGCATCCGGATATTATTACCATCACAGGCAAAGCTTGACTTCCAGCTTATCAATATACTGGAAACCAGTCTTTCCCAATTTTATTATATGACCAAGATTCACAATGCGAAAGCATGTTTGTAAGTTACCAATAACTCTCCCTCAGGCTGGATATTAAATTAAAAAGAAAAGAAGGAAAGTATTTTTATGATGTTAAATCCTCTCTGTAGGTTGCTTCATTCTTAGGTAGGAGAAATGGCCCTCACCGAAATAATGAGGTGAGCCTAAGCCTTATGCAGAAAAACACAGGTTAAACTGAGGCATGATGGGTTGGGGGCAAGGAGGAGAAGAAATAGAGGCCCTCCATTTGGAAAAAGAAAATCCAACCATTAGATGATTGTGCCTCTGGAATTAGATTGTGTATGTGTTATTGACACCTGGACATTTGTAAAGTGTTAACTTATTGCATTGTACATTTAACTGCTTGGCTAGCATGATCCTGCCATGCAATGAGGAGCATTTTTACCTGATCAGAGACGCACCTGATCAGAAATACAGGGAAGCAGACAAGTGGCCAGTCCCCCTTGCCACACTTAGCAGGCCAATATAGGTGACAGTACAGCTGGGGGAGGGGAATGGCTACAGGGCAATTTGTTTTGTTAGGGCAAACAGTAAGTTAACTCTGCCACCCTTGTGTTTTGCAGAATACGCCAATGTCCACCCTGATAAGCAGCAAACAGCACTGTGAGTACACCATTGATGCAGCGAAGAAGCACGTAGCTGAGGCAACCTGCACGGAAGAGCACTTATTCCTCCCTTCATCGTACAAGTAGGTTCCATGTCGTGTCTCTCTTGACCCCTTCCCGATTAGGGTTATAGGCTGTGGTTGAAACATACGTGTTGTATACAACTTTGCATTTTAAAATATTTCTTTTCCCCCTTATTGCCCACTAGACAACAGTATGGCATGATGTCCAAAGTCAAACAGTTTCTGAAACTTGAAAACACTGTGCAAACCAACAACAGAGACATAGATGGTAAGGCTTAAGAAATCTCTCTCGGATTGATCTGTTTCCTATGGGGCTTATGTAATGCAAGGAATTTTAAGTGTTCAAACTCACAGATGTAGAGAAAGGCTAAGCACTGGCTACATGCAATTTCCCAATATATAAAGAAAAAAGGAGAAACCTATGCTATGTTTGTGGTGTGTACAGCTGGGTGTGACGAAGGCATGTTCCTGGATCCGTCTGTGTTTAAAATCCCAACCTATCAGGCAAAGGGGTTTCACATAACAGTGATAATATGAATGAACTGAGACCGTACCCATCAGATGAGCACCACACAATGCAGGGCTTCTGAAAAGACATCCAGGGAACTTCATGCCAACTCAAAGTTTCCATTTTTTGTAAGGTTGTTTTGAAGGGCTCGGAAGGCCAGAAATTACTTGACATTTTGTCACAATGAGGCTATTTTTTACTGGGGAGCATGAAGGTTTTGCTGTTTCACAACCTGATAATTTGAACTCTTTGAAAATGGTAGTTATATAAAAAAATAACCCCCATGACCAATACGAGCTGATTTCATCACAGAAACACTGAGAATGTATGGATGAGTTGTTTATTCAAAAATGATCATAGAATCATAGAACTGTAGAGTTGGAAACGGATCACGAGGGTCATCTAGTCCAACCCCCAGCAATGCAGGAATCTTTTGCCCAACATGGGGCTTGAACCCGCAGCCCTCAGATTAACAGTCTCATGCTCTCTTGACAGAGCTATCCCAGGGGTGTATGTAAGATCAAGATGAAAGGTTGTATCCAATGGTGACTTTTCTCCAGTAGAAAGCAATGTCACTGGCACAAGACAAAGCATATAATTTTTGCCAGTGGTCTCTACCTACGCCCACCCTCCATGCCATTGCCTGTAGTGATTGAGAGGGTCTCTCAACTCTGAAAAGCAGAGCCGATGTATGGATGAGTTGTTTATTCAAAAATGATCATAGAATCATAGAACTGTAGAGTTGGAAACGGATAGGTTGGTCAACAAAAACAGATTATCCCATGCCAGTGTTTTCCATTGGCACTAAGTCACTGTGGAATACAGCCTAGGGCAGCATGTTCATATTTTGGAAGGCATTATTTTTTGGGGGGTGTAGAGGGTGTCCCAGAAATGCAAACATACAGCATCCTTCTGATAACATGCATTTCTTGGGATATGATTTACAATGAATTGAAAAAAACTGTTCAAATATACTTTCCCAAAAAAACCAGAAGCCTTTTTGCTGGGGTTGATAGGAGATGAAATAAGAAAAGCAGATCAGAGATTATTCATGTACGCTACGACTGCTGCCAGAATCTTAGTAGCCCCAAAATGGAAAACTCAGGAAATACCAACATTAATGGAGTGGCAGACAAAAAATGGTTGAATATATGGAATTAGCAAAACTGACCCACAGAATCCGTAACCAAGAGGAAGCACAGTTCAGAAGTGAAGGGAGTAAATTTGTGGAGTATATACGTAATAATTGCAGAAGTTTAAAGACTGTAGTAGGATTAAAATAAATCTTATGACATGGACAGGAGGATGCGAAGAATCTGTGAAAAAAGGAAAGATTAATATGAAAACCTCTGAAGGGAGGGAGGGAAGTCTGGGCTAGATAGTGAGTTGAAAAATAAGTGTACATAAGATTGTAGAACATTAGTGTATTTATTTTGTTTTGTTTGTGTTAAAGAAAACTCAATATTTTTTTTAAAAAAAATATATAACATGCATTTCTTTATAGTCAGTGGTCTGGTAAAGAGAGGCTTGTCCTCAGAGAGTGTGGAGGCCAAATCCCACAGGCATGGCGATGCTGTTCTGAGAGTCCTTCAAGAACTGCAGAAACTGTCCATCTCCCAGCAGAACCAGAAAAGAGCCAGCCTCTTCTACAGATTTGTGACCGGACTGAGAGGCTTGCACAATGCTACTCTGGGTCCTCTGGTGCCAAAGATGATGGAAACTTCCAGGTATTTTATCATCAGGATCTGAGTAAATATGGAAGAAGTCACAGTGAAAGCAGCTCACTGGTTGTTTGGTCAAAAGCTTTGTTGCAATAGTCCACTGTTCAGGTGTTGCAATGGGAAGACAGAAGTCGAGAGTATGCACCATGGAAAAGTGTGGGAGAAAGAATATTGGCCAACATGGTTTTGCAGAGGTCCCAAGGACAACAATTAAACATTTACCTTCCACCCGATAGTCTAATTTACTCATTGTCCTATTCGTTGGCAAAATCTATTCGTTAGCAGCTATACACCCATGATCCAGAACGAAACCTTTCTTCTCGGTATCAAAATTCAAGAGGCCACTGAGTTCATGACAGAGGTGAAAATAAAATTAGGGACTTCCTGATTTGGGTCAGATACCACTTATAAAAAATCTTTAATATATTCTCCTTAATCAAACAGCAAGCCGAAAAAATTATCATTCTATTCCGTAACTTCTCCCAAGCCGAGAATTAAATATTATGTCCAATATCTGATGACCAGTGTATAATCACAGCCTTAGAATGGGAAACTAAAGATGAGCTAGCTAACAAGATTTTATATAATTTCGATATTAATTTTTTGTTATTCCCCAATATGGTTTCCCCCCTCCAAATTCTGACCACCACCCCTTGATACATCCTCTCTCTTTGTCCTTCATGAAAATCTCATTCACTTGAAAACACTGAAACTGATCTGTAACTATTCTTCCCCTTTTAAAAGTCTTATAATTAAATTAAAAGTCTTCAAATTCAAGGAGATCTTTGGGTGTTCCCCAATTCCCCCCCCCCATGTTTAATTTTTTAACTGCCTCCATCGGGCATAGCCAACATGGCGGTCTTCCTTTCTCAAAGTTCTTTATATCTTGCCCAAACATTATAGAGGCTCTTCCTGATCACATGATTAAAGACTCCCTTGTGCACTTTAGTCTTATCGTAGTACAGGTAGCTATGCCATCCTAATGCTCCGTTGTATCCTTCTAAGTCCCAAACTCCTGCATCTTTCAATTCTACCTACTCCTTCATCCATCCCAAACACGCTGCCTCCACCAAACCCCATTTCCATTAGGCTGGGGAGGGTTGGTTGGAGGCAAAATGTCACACAACACTGGCGCAGCATTCCCCATTCTACCCACCAAATGTATTGGCGGGCATCTGCTGTGCTTTGATAATTTAGTGTGTGTACACACATGGTCATTGTTTTTCATTTATCGGCACATTTCCATAGAGTGGTGGGTACATATAAAAGTTAACACGAGCAGAAGTACCAGAAACAATAAATGGCTGTGAATGGATGACGTAACGATGGTGCCATGATGGTGTCAAATCCTTTATGTCGAGTTTGAAATTTGTTGGTTTGTTTCCCTTCAGTTCGATCACAATACAGGCTCTGACTCAGTGCGGTACCCCAGAGTGCTTTGGTGCGATCCTCCAAGTCCTGCGGACAGGCAACGTCGATTCACTTGTACTGGATGCCGTCACATACAGCCTGGCACTGCTGCCTTCACCCTGCACGAAAAGGATACGGGAGATCCTCAACACGGCCCAGTATCGCCCAAGCCGAGCTTCTTTTTATGCCTTGAGTCACGCCGTCAACAGGTATGTGGCACCTGGGTGCGTTTATGACCTGAAATTGATTTTTTAAGGAATGTAATGTGGTTGCAGCATTGTCTAAAAGACCTTTAGCCAACTAGCTGGTTGGTAAAGCTAAAGGTACCCCTGACCGTTAGGTCCAGTCGCGGACAACTCTGGGGTTGCGCGCTCATCTCGCTCTATAGGCCGAAGGAGCTGGCATTTGTCTGCAGACAGCTTCCAGGTCATGTGGCCAGCATGACTAAACCGCTTCTGGCGAACCGGAGCAGCGCACAGAAATGCTGCTTACCTTTCCGCTGAAGGGATACCTATTTATTTACTTGCACTTTGACGTGCTTTCAAACTGCTAGGTGGGCAGGAGCAGGGACCGAACAATGGGAGCTCACCCCATCATGGGGATTTGAACCGTGACCTTCTGATCAGAAAGCCCTAGGCTCTGTGGTTTAACCCACAGCACCACCCGCGTCCCTACTAGCTGGTTGACAGCAGTGCTATTGTCAGGGACCGTGCTGAGGAGGGCTGCACTGAGGAGGAATGGGGGGAGCCCCCCCCTGCTCCAGATCCGGATCCTGAGTCTTCCCAGGAGCAGGAGGACGGTATAGATTTGGATCAGTGGTTTGCAGAGGGGCATAGTTCAGAAGGCAGAAGCTGGGAAATACTGGATGGGGAACAGCTAGGAGAAGAAGCACTGGGAGAGAGAGAGTTAACAGATTCACTGTCTCTGGAAAGCATTCATCCGCTTTCTCCAAAATCAAGAAGAGCTGAGAAAGTGGCAGAACAGAAAGCACAGAGGGTACAAACTCAGGTTACAAGATGTAGGAGTGACGTGGGTGACTAGGGACGTAAGGGGGTGTGATCCTTAATTGGGAGCACCACCATTCCTAGGAAATGGGTTCTTTGTTCTCTCGCTGTGATCATTAAAGTTTCTAACTGGTAAGAAGACTCCTTTTCCTTTGTTCTGCTTATCTACTGCCAAGGCAGGGGGTGGGGAGTTGGGGTGGGGGAGGAAGCCAATTCCCTGAAGCATGGCAGCTATGGTTGCGGTGAGGAAATTCCATGGCAGAGCTACCACCCTTTCTAAGCCCTACCAGCTTGGTGCAATGGCTTTTCCTTGCTCTTTTTTTTGGGGGGGGGATTTATCCCTCTCCCCTTGCAGTCAATGGAATGGAATACACCAGCTCCATAATCACTCACTGTGTATAAATAAAGAATATGTGCTTTTCCCATGAAAGCTATTGTTCATATGCAAGTTTCAGTGTATAGGTTGAATTGAATAATTTTACTGAATTACTGATAGGCTGTCAGCCATATAAATACAGTTTGTATTTAATAGCACATATTTAACCAGATACGGCAGAAGAAAAATAATAATTGTGATCTACAAAATCGGGGAGAAATCTGAGGCTTAGCAGCTTTAAAAATATTTGATACAATTTCCCTTTCTTCCAGATTCTATGACAGCAACAGCATAGTGACAGAAGAAATAAATGATGTTGCTAATTTTATGGTGTCACAGATCAGCAATGAATGCTCTGGAGATGAGGAACTCACCTACCTGACCCTGAGGGTATTTTTATTTTTTTTTGTATTTTAGTTTAAAAATGCATCATTTGCCCTTGTTTGCATGCTAATATTCCCTGGCTGGGAGAGGGAAGCCCCTATATTCACCTTTTTTTTAATGTGATCCACAGGCCATTGGCAATATGGGGAAAGTGATAGAAGAAGCCAATCCCAATGTGAAACAGTCTCTGAAAATGTGTATTAGAAGTAATGTAGCATCACCTGCAGTCCAGAAAGCAGCCATTCAGGCACTGAGAAAAATGAGCATCACTGCTGAGGTAAACAGAATGTATTGCATGTTCCCCATCCTTCCATAAAATTATGCTTTAAGCAATCAAACAAACCACATTTTGTTTCTTAGTAACTGGGCAGACCTTGTGTAAATTAGCACCAGTGGAATCTAATTATATATTAAATGTAGCGATGTCAGAGATGATGATGATGATGATGATGATGATGATGATTATTATTACAGTGGTACCTCTGGTTACGAACATAATTTGTTCCGGAGGTCCGTTCTTAACCTGAAACCGTTCTTAACCTGAGGTACCACTTTAGCTAATGGGGCCTCATGCTGCCACCGTGCGATTTCTGTTCTCATCCAGAGGTAAAGTTCTTAACCTGAGGTACACTCCTAATTAAAAGTAGGAAGCTCATTGAATCACACTGGTGATCATATTGCAGATAACCTTCACAGCTGTGATCGACCTCAAACAGTGTCACTCATTATTAAAATAAACGTTGTGTGCGGAAACGAGGAGAACCGAAACTCAAATGTTTCCTAAACCAGAAGTTAAGCCATTTCTAGTTGCCATTTTTTGTTCTTTAACTTTACTTTGTTCATCTTGTTACAGGACCAAGGGGTTCTAGTCAAGGTCTTCCAGGAGGCTTCTTCACCAGTTGAGAAACGTCTGTCAGCTTATCTCATGCTGATGAGAAACCCTTCCTCATCTGACATTTCCAAGGTCATTAAAAGTCTTCAAAAGGACAAGAATGAACAAGTGAAAAGCTTTGTAGCCTCCCACATTGCCAACATCTTAGACTCGACAGACCCTTACACTGAATTGTAAGTAATTGTTTTGGAATCTGTTGATGTAGCTTCAAATTTTTACCTACGATTAATGGAATAATCGTATTAAATCAGGACTCCATAAGTCAGATATTTACATAGGCTAGTAAGAGCCAGCTTCTTCATCTTGGGGGACCAGGCTATCCCTGACTAAGGTGCAGGGCTTTTTTCCAGCCAGAGCTTACTGGAGCTCAGCTCTGGCACCTCTCAGGTAGGCGCCATTGCCATGACCCATGATATTAAGAGACTCATGCTCTACCAACTGAGCTATAGGTTTATAAGAGAACAACAGAGGAGTTCATGGTGAGTTCCGGCACTTCTTTTCCTAGAAAAATACTACTTCTAAGTGTGTATGAGAGCTGGAATGCCCCCCTCTCCAGCCATGTTGTAATCAAAGGGATAATGGCACAAATTGCTAACAATTTTTGTGGTCTGTGGTGCTGCTGAATTAGAAGTGAATCAGCTATATTGGAAGAAGGAAGACTCTCACTAAATTTCAAGTAAGGGGACCAGATTGGGCTAGTGGGCTGCCATTTTAGCCTTTTTTGAACCATCACCAGAATTGCAATATAATTTGGCTCCCAGCACCAAAACCCCATTTTACATGTGGCAACATCTGAGGGTGCTTTATATTTTGGGTCCTGTGCAGCTGACATTTCAAGCTCTTTGTGAGATTCCTGTTAGTCCCATTGGTTTTTGCTGAGGTCAGGCACCAGAACTCTAAGCCACTAAGTATAATGTTCCCTAAAGAGATGTGAATAAAAAAAATATTAAATGGAGTTTTTATGCCAGAAACCTACCATAGCTGAATTCTACCTGAATATTGTACAAAATATTGTATTAATAATTTTGCCGCTCTATTTTAATGTCATCAGGCTCAGAGGAAAAATTAATGAGGCCCTTAAAGGAGCCCAGGTTCCACCAGCCAAGGATTTCCGGAGATTTTCACAAAATTATCAGGCTTCCAAGACTCTGTCTCTGCCATGGACCAATGGTCCAATTTCAGGAAAACTGGAAGGAGACCTGCTGTTTGATTCAAGCAGCTATGTACCTAAGGAATCCATGCTAAGAACTACACTGCAGTTGACTGGACTGCATCCTATAGATGTGTTTGAGGTACAACAGTTTTCTTAGCATTTACTTCAGTCTGCTTGCTATTATTGACTTCAGCGTATTCATGTATCTGTACAGTGGTACCTTGGTTTTCTAACGGAATGCGTTCGACTCCTGGAACCGTTCAGAAACCAAAGTGTGGCTTCTGATTGACTGCAGGAGCATCCTGCAGCCAATTGAAAGCCACAGAAGCCACGCTGGACGTTCAGCTTCTGAAAATCGTTCAAAAACCAGAACACTCACTTCCAGGTTTCAATTGTTTGGGAGCCAATTTGATCGGGAGCCAAGGCATTCAGCTCCCAGGGTACGACTATATTATATTATGTGCTACTATTTTCTATACGATGCTTTTTCAGCCTTAAAGCAGTGTACAAAGGTTAAAACTTCAAAATAACAGCAACATGATGAAATTAGAAATCATGTGCACACTCACAAGATCTCAGCTATCAAAAGGTGCAAGAAATGACAGGGTGCCAGTCGTCAATTGGAGCAAGAATAACAATGAAAAAATATGGCCAATATGCATGATGGCCTATATGTTTACTTGCAGTATGAAAGGCAGTATGTCTCTGAATACAAATCACTGGGGGAAAACAGTGAAGGAGGACTATCACCCTCACAACCACCTTTTGAGCTTCTCACATGCAGCAGATTGGTCAAGTAGAAGGCTAGATGCTGAATTAGATAGACTTTTGCTCTAACCCTTAAAAGGGAGCTGGTGGCACTGTGGTCTAAACCACTGAGCCTCTTGGGCTTGCCGATCGGAAAGTCGGCAGTTCGAATCCCCGCGATGGGGTGAGCGCCCATTGCTCTGTCCCAGCTCCTGCCAACCTAGCAGATCGAAAGCACGCCAGTGCAAGTAGATAAATAGGTACTGCTGCGGTGGGAAGGTAAACAGCATTTCTGTGCGCTCTGGCGTCTGTCACAGTCCTCCATGCTCCAGTAGCGGTTTAGTCATGCTGGCCACATGACTCAGAAAACTGTCTGTGGACAAACGCCGGCTCCCTCGGCCTGACAGTGAGATGAGCTCTGCACCCCACAGTCGCCTTTGCCTGGACTTAACCGTCCAGGGGTCCTTTACCTTTTTTACCTTTACCTTGATCTGACCCAGCAAGGCTCCTCTTATGTCTTGCTAACATCTTGATATCAGAAGACAAGGCTCATGAGTGCAACAACCTAGCATAACAGCAGCACATGATTAGTGTTACGTCCAAAAACACACAACTGAGGGGAAGTTAAGTGACAACATTACCTGCAAGCTAGACCCTTGCTTGCTCATTCAACTCTCTATTTTAGCTTGCCTGTAGAATTTCCCCCTTCCAATTAACTTGGAGTTCTCAAGTGAAAAAAAATACTCTTCTATTACTCACTCTGCTTTGTTTTATTTATTTTTTTCATTTCCATCAGATCGGCTTGGATGGGAAAAGCTTTGAGCCAACACTAGAAGCCATGTTCGGACCGAATGGGTTTTTCCCTGACAGTGCCACAAAAGCTTTGTATTGGGTAGATGGCAAGGTGCCAGATGAAGTTTCTCAAGCGCTTTTCAAATATTTTGGATACTCCAAGGATGGAACACAAGATCAGGTATACCACAGTTTTCTAGATGAAATGGTGCTGTTGGCTTTTTAAAACAAACCCTTCAACCCTGTAGCAATGTTTGAATACGTTTTGTGGGGTGCAGTAGTTGAAAACCACATTTTATCCTAAGACAGTACAGTGGACCCTCTAGATACGAATTTAATTTGTTCCGGGGGTCCGTGCGCACCCTGAAAAATCTGTATCCAGAGGCACCGCTTCTGCGCACGCGCACGGCAAGATAGAGCGCTTCTGCGCATGCGCATGGCGCACAGAGCGCTTCTGCACATGCACGAGCGGTGAAACCTGGAAAATTACTTCTGGGTTTGCTGCTTTCACAGCCCAAAGTTTACGTTACTCGAGAGTAACATAACCCAAGGGTCTACTGTACATGCAGCTGCTCTCAAAAATGAAAATGACAAGATGCACCAAAAGTATATGGAAAACACACACAAAAAAAAATTATTATTTTTAAAAAGGAAATTTGGTTCCTGCTCAGAGTAAGAAATGTTGCCATCACATCGACAGCCATTTTGGGCAGAGATCCCTCTTTAAGATGAGATCGTCCATTCCACACGGGCTTTGCTAGCCATCAGTACCTCGTGTGATCCTAGAGGGTTATGACAGTGGTTGATGTTTTACTTGTTGCCTTCTTTAAAACATTTTTCAGGATCCCATGAAAGGAATCATGCTTAATTTTGAGAAAATGATCAGAGAAATCACCTCCAAAGAAACACCTGAAGCCAGAGCCTACCTGAGAATGTTTGGGGAAGAGCTTGGCTACTTGAAACTCAGTGACTTCAAGCTACTTGGAAATCTAATTCGGAAAAGCCTCCTCTCGCTTCAGACTGTGCCCGAGAAGGTATATTTTCAAAATGCTGAAAACCACCTTGTGCATGTTTCTGTCTCCTTCATTTAAAAGAGAACTTAACTCTTGGCATCTCCTACTGAGGTCCTGGTGCAAAGTAGGGGGCCTGGCCTGCTATTTTCATTGGGACACAGACTACCATTGAATGGGAGAATTCTTCCAAAAGCATTGCACCCTGATCTGGATTAGGACTGCAGTGGGGAGAGCACCAAAGAGTTGAAATGTATTCATCCAAACTGTGCTCCCCGAGACACTTTTTTAAAAACAACAACAACATTCGTACGAGACCGCTCACCTTTCTTGGTGGGTGCCATTGTGAACTGGCATTTCCTGATTTCCATAATCCGACAGGGGGAGCCCCTTGGGCAGTTTCTTGGGAAACAAAGGAGGTCCCTGGGCTGAGCTTGCTGCTGGAGAAGTAGATCCCACCTGCTCACTCAATTGGGGGATCAATTGTGAGTGGGCATGGGGACGGGCCATTCTTAAGGGGTGGGTTCAGGTATATAATGAAGGCCTGTGGCTTGCGCTGCAGCCACTTCTTCATTAAATCAGATGCTTGAAATAATTTCCCATACATCTTCGATCCAGCATTATTATTATTATTATTATTATTATTATTATTATACAAAAGCTGTAGCAAAGTGCCACTTGCATGAATATCACAGGACACAGAGACAATGATGATGATCATCTTTCCCTCCTATAATTTTTATTAAATTTTCTGTTTTACATTTTAGAATATTCATTTAAACAACCTTAAAATATCAATGACTTCCCTTCTTCTCTTTCCATGGTTCATTTTGCATGACATAAATCCCTGCATGTTTTATATAAACTAAACCATTCAGAATTCAATTATTTCATCCATCAAAACTTATTTACACCGTTGAATTTATCTTAATGCTGCCCATGTTTTCAAATGTACACAATTCCCCCCATATATTCAATAAACATTTTCCAATATTCTTTAAACGTCTGTTCTTTGAAGAACGAAAAAGATGACCATCATCTTTATCATCACCGTCCTCCAAATTACTTTGGGAAAGTATGTGATAATCATTTAACAAATTATTTCATCTTTTTGCCCATAGATCGCCCAAGCCATCTCAGGGGGGATTGATAACGATCTCTTTGTTCACTACATCTTCATGGACAATGAATTTGAGTTGCCTACTGGTGCAGGATTGCCATTAAAGGTTGCTTTCTCTGGAGTAGCCACTCCCGGAGCCAAGGCTAAAGTGAAAATTTTACAGAGGACTGTGAGTCTTAGCTTGCTTACAACTTATTGTAGAAGCTGGCAAGTAACGCATGTGGTGTTCTGAGGCTGTTAAGCTAATACGCAGCAGTGCACTACTTTACAAGTGGTGCAATTTCCTGACTCCCCCCCCCCATTGACCCCTTAGCTATGGTTTTGGGAAGGGTGTGAGGGTGTAGTGTAGGGGTCAGAAAACTTTTTCAGCAGGGGGCCAGTCCACTGTCCCTCAGACCTTGTGGGGGGCAGACTATATTTTTTTTGGGGGGGGGAAGAATTCCTATGCCCCACAAATAACCCAGAGATGCATTTGAAATAAAAGCACACATTCTACTCATGTAAAAACACACGGATTCCTGGACTGTCCGCGGGCCAGATTTCAAAGGTGATTGGGCCAGATCTGGCCCCCGGGTCTTAGTTTGCCTACCCATGGTGTAGTAATTTAGATAAAACTGGGGGAGGGAGGTCAGGGCTTGCGGATTTCATCAGATATGCTCATCTCCCCACTGCCCTGCTAAGAATTCAAGGCCTGTTACAAAGTTATAAAACATTACTTTAGAATGACAATGAGGATGCAGGTGGGCATTCAGACTTAAATTTATGCAAGAGTTGAGCCTCAAGGTAAATTCTTTTTTTGTGTGTGGTTACCTTAGTTGCAATTCCACATACGAGGATGCACAGCTGCATGTCAAACTGCAGGACACAGTTTGTGAGACAAGCCACACACACACACCCCGTCTGAGACTCGGGAGTTGCCCATCAGGGTAGATGATACTGGGCTGGAGAAGCCAATGGTCTGGTTCCATTTAAGGCTCCCTTGGCTGCAGGGATGGCCACCAACTTGGATTGCTTTAAAAGAGGATTTTATGGAACATATGGCTATTAATGGCTACTAAACATGATGATTCTGCTCTGTCTCCACATTCTTCTGAATACCAGTTGCAGAAAACCACAGGGTGGGAGAGTGCAACTGGAGTTCTATTGTGTACATAGCGCTCAAGTTCCCTCAAAGACTTTATTGGAATGGACCACACAGCGTCCTTTTGCATCTTGCAGAGCTGACCTAGTAGAGCAGTGGTTCTCAACCTTCGGTCCCCAAATGTTTTTGGCCTACATCTCCCATGATCCCTAGTTCACAGGACCAGTGGTCAGGGATGATGGGAGTTGTAGGCCAGAAACATCTGGGGACCCAAAGTTGAGAAAGGCTGTAGTAGAGAATGATACACAGGGGTGTGTGTATGTGTGTGTCACATGGGTGCAGCAAAGCGTCTTGGTCTCATGTTTGCTCTGGTTCTTGAAATGTCATCAGAAAGCTGTGTTCCAAACATGTTGATGAACAGATCATATCCACACATCCTTTGGGCGTGTGGTTCCGGGCTCTACCAACACAACTGGCTGAAAAGCCATCCATCTGTGGGGAAGCCTATGTACAGAAGTAGCATGGCATGGCAAAATCAATTTGATAGCCAGTCCCCATCCCCCAGTGCATTGCTGGTTTGGCATTGTGCCCGAGGAGCCAAAGTTTATTTTCTAACCGACCGGTTAGGAGAATGCACTGCCAATCTGCCCATCACCAGGAATAGAAAGGGATTGTTCTCCTATTTACCGTATCAAAAAGAAAACTTCTGTGATAGAAATAAATATTTTTTGTATTTTGTGTCCACCCTCTAGATACAAGCAGAACTGGTTGCAAAACCATCCGTGGCAGTTGAATTTGTGACTCACATAGGAGTGAACATCCCTGTGTTTGCTAGAAACGGCGTGCAGATGAACACCAACATATACCATGAGTCTGGAATCGAAGCCCACATCGGACTGAAAGCTGGGCAGCTGAAGGTCAGCATTCCTGCACCAAAGACTCCAACCAAGCTCCTCAGTATCAGGTACTGTTGGAGGGATTTGAGTTCTGTGAGCATCTCTGCTATTGCCCTCAAACTGTAAAATATGTGCTGCCTTTTCCATGCTCACGAGAAAGGTAACTGGTGGGTAGGCTTGCTATGCAATGCCCAGCAACCATTGCTACAGTTGTCAAGGCTGCAGCCTTCACAAAACAAGCTCCTGGCTGAAAGCATTATCCACTGGTTCAGACATTGTCTTTCTCTGCATGGGAGTATTCCCAAGGCGAAATGCATTACGTGAATCAGTTTAAATATTAGGGTATCTGCCGTGTAATGAACATTTCTAGTACTTTTAAATTTCTCTGGTGCTAAAGCTAAATAGTTGGGATAGTTTGCAGTTTAGGGATGAGATGAGAAGGTGCTTTGAGATCCCATAATAAGCCTGCAATCCTATGCCTACTTAAGGTGGGAGTAAGCCCTCCCGAAATCCCTTTCCTCTGCACAGACATACAGGTTTGCACTGTGAAAGTTATTGGGGCTTTTTTTTCTTGTAAATAATAAGAATAATTTGCTTATCAGGTGCATTGCTACAGATTTCTGGTTAAATCCAAATGAGCAATATTCACAGGCTCTTCTTTTCACCCACTGCCTAATCCTAGACCGTGAAATAAACATTCCATTTTCTTTTGAAGCAACGTCTTGACCTTGGTCACCCCAACCCGAACAGAAGTGATTCCTCCTCTGATTGAGAACAGAGAGTCCCGGACAACTTGCGCGTCTTTCTTTGCTGGCCTTAGTTACTGTACCCGAGTAGAATACTCCAATGCCAGCTCAACAGAGACAGCACCTTACTACCCACTCACTGGGGAAACCAGGTAAGTTGGTTCTCTGTACATATGCAGCACATATGCCTTCTCTGCTGCCTCAGCCGGATCCTGCACCAAGAGTAGTCAGATTCTGTGACTGTATAAAGCATGCAAATGTTCATATATCTGTTTCTTTCACGTCATTTATTCTGCTTCCAGGAGTTGTGGAAAGCTCTGTCTTTTGACCAGCACCTCCCCTGTGGCTGTGCAGGTTTCAGGCATCACACACACACACACACACACACACACACACACACACACTGAGGTTCCTCTTTACCTTCCCGAGGGCTAGAAAGAAAGAAAATGGATATTCTTAGCATATTAAGTTCCTTGTCCAACACTATATCTTATATTTGCATGATGAATTTTTAGAATACAGTGTCCTGACTACAGCTATGTTTATAGGTGTGTGTGTGCGTGCCATCTTCTTTATTTCTGATTTTTTTTTTCCAGAAGAAAGTATAATATATATGTGCAACTAACTAGTCCAGGCTTCCTCAAACTCGGCCCTCCAGATGTTTTTGGCCTACAACTCCCATGATCCCTAGCTAGCAGGACCAGTGGTCAGGGATGATGGGAACTGTAGTCTCAAAACATCTGGAGGGCCAAGTTTGAGGAAGCCTAAACTAGTCTCTATGCTTATATGGCTACTATTTTGCTGACTCCTAGCATATTTTTGTAACATGGCCAGAGCCAATGCTAAGGAGTTTGCATGTGAGGAGGTGATTCCATGGTGTTTTTTTGTATTGTGTCAAATACATCTTAATTTTTTTGGGGGGGAAACAAAACAAAACTCTTAGAGCTGAACTATTTGGCCCCAATACCTAATTAGTGAAGTGCTTTCCTCTAGTGAACTATGATTGTTTTTCATTATTTACAATTATTTACAATGACAGATGATATTTCCATTTTGACATCATTAGGTATGAAATTGAACTGCAGCCAACAGGGGAAGTAAAGGAATATATAGCAAGTGCTAATTATGAAGTAAGCAAAGAGGAGGAGGACTTGGTTGACACCTTGAAATTCATGGCTCAAGCGGCAGGTAAGAGGCTGTGCAATTAGTGATGCATGTGAAAGTTACAAAGATTTGCAAAAGCGTCCAAGTCTCTTCACTGTCAAAATAAAATAAAATAAAATAAAAAATCTCTGTCCTAGCTCCCATGCCAATAAATCACCTTGAAAGATCAGGAGGTCAATCTTCACCTGTTTTGATGAAATGAATATGTATAAAACAAGGTGAACTTGAGCTAGACGACTCTTTCTAGGGTGAATCTCTCCAGGTGATGGTAGATTTAACACCTCAGATAGAACTTTGATATAAGCCATGTTCAGGGCTTTAAAGTTTGTGTCAGCTGTCAGTCATCAAGGATAGAGAGACCGAGTGTTGTACATTCATGAGTGATTTAGCCCAGAGATTGGTTAGAAGGTAAGGGTTGTTTTATAATTAAGAACCACAATCCAGAGAACCACTCAGTTGCTTAGTTGTTTTGGGAGGCCTAATATTTTCAGTTATCACAACTGCTTTACTACTACTACTACTACTAATAATAATAATAATAATAACAACAACAACAATAAATTATTATTTATACCCTGCCCATCTGGCTGGGTTTCCCCAGCCACTCTGGGCAGCTTCCAACTGAATATTAAAAACAATACAGCATCAGACATTAAAAACTTCCCTAAACAGGGCCGCCTTCAGTTGTCTTTTAAAAGTAAAATAGTTGTTTATTGCCTTGACATCTGCTGGGAGGGCGTTCCACAGGGCAGGCGCCACTACTGAGAAGGCCCTCTGCCTGGTTCCCTGTAACCTCACTTCTTGCAGCGAGGGAACCACCAGAAGGCCCTCAGTGCTGGACCTCAGTGTGCAGGCTGGATGATGGGGGTGGAGATGCTCCTTCAGGTATACAGGACCGAGGCCATTTAGGGCTTTGAAGGTCAGCACCAACACTTTGAATTGTGCGCAGAAACGTACATAGCAATCTATGTTAATTCTGTTTGCAAACTATTTGTTGTCGCTGCTTCTTTCAGGTGCAAAACAATGTGAAGCCACACTGATCTTCAGGTACAATCGAGGCAAAAAGATTTTTACCAGTGACCTCCAGGTTCCCAGTTTCAGCGTTGATTTGGGTACCAACTTCAGACTTACTGACTATTCCACTCAGGAAAGGAGCGCTTACAGCTTTATCTTAGACATCAACAACAAGAAAATTCCCGAAGTTACTCTTACGGGACGCATAGGGTAAGCCACAAGCTTTTCTCATTTTTGCAGATATTGTAGTGTTAGTAGGAGATAGTTAGACTTCTGCCCCTCTGGAATTTCTAAGGGTAGATTTTTGCTAAACCAGGAGTCTTTTCGTTGTGTGTTTTTCCAGATACAGCGCTGGGACAGAGTCAGCAGTGGAAGCTTCCATCTCCATTCCTCGCCTGAGGACACAAGCAAAAACAGATGTATTACTGCAACAGTCACAGAATGGGCTGACATTCCAGATTGACAGTTCAGCTACAAGTCACGGCTCCTCAGTTTCGGAGAGAATTGTCTTGGGATACGGTAGGATCATGTGTCAATGTGAAACACCTTTTCTGCCACCAATATGTGGTGAAGGATCAGAATTCCACTTATCACACTCCAAACCTTGGGACCCTTCAGTATCCATCCACAGAGGGCCAGCCTTATGCAGCGTGAGACAGCTGCCTCAGGCAGCAGATGTTGAGGGGAAGGGGAAGTAGCCAGAGGTACAAGTGACATGTGGCCTGCCCTGTACCCACTACACAAGCCTGCTGCCATCAGGTGCAATGAAAGACATTGTCCTTTTACAAGAATAAGATTCAACTACCAGTCCAACTGGCCTCTGTATGTGCCTTGGGAGAAAGGGCCATCTTGTCTGTTGCCTCGGGCAGCAAAATGATTTGAGCCGGCCCTGAATCAACAAGGCTACACAATTGCATAGCCATCTATGTGAATTCTCTTTGGAAGAGCCCAAACCATGCAGGCCTGAATTGCAGATCCTGTATGCCATAAAATGGCTTTGCTCAGAAGTAGCGCAGTTGCTTTCCAAGCAAAAAGCACCACTTCCTTGCATATCCAACTAGGGCTTAGAAACACGTCTATATGGGACCCTGGGCAGTTGCCTCCTGCCAATATGGACAATGTTGAATTAGATGGACCAATGACCAGTCTCACTATAAGGCAGTTTGGGTCTTTATGGTTTGGGTTCCCTACAAGTCCCTCCACCACATGTCAGTGGAGGGTTTTGATGTTGGTTTTTTCCAACTTTGCAAACTGGATTCCATGGGAAATAATAAGGTGACATTTGTCATTCTGCCTTAGATAATGAGAAGATTGAAGTGCAGTGGAAATCAGGCCAGAGTGCAGCCCTGAAGAAAATGTCAGCCACGCTACCCGTAGACTTTGCAGATTATTCAAAGACTTTGCAGAAGCATGCCAACGATCTCTTGGACCACCGAGTAGCCAATACAGATATGACAGTCCGGCATATTTTTTCAAACTTTATAGTAGTAAGTGGAGTTATTTGTCATAGAACATACTTTTCATGTGGCTCTGAATCATGCTGATAAGAGATGTAGGTGATTCCAGTGAGAACTACCTATGAGTACATGATTAATTGGTTTGGGAGAAGCAAAGACCAGGTAAGAAAAAAGATCCAGTAATTTCAAATGCTCGGAAAGCATGAAGGCATCAAGTTCTGTTCCAACCTGCATTCAATCAGTGCTGTTTCTGGTCTGCTGCAGTTTGGTTTCCACCAAATACTACATTATATGTTTCACTGTCTGGTATTTTTACGTAAGTTATTTATGCAACATAAGTTCATTTCAGTGTAAAGGAAATGTCAGAACGATGTAAAAAGAGGCATCAATTAGGAATCATTTGAGAACTTAAAAAAACAACAACAATATGAACAAGTGCCAGTCATATTGGCTTGATCGATTTCCATTCTTGACCACAGATGGACCAGCAAACTACTGAGATTTTGTCAGAGTTCTCTAGCAACCATAGCAAAGACCCAGGGGCATGTAACTCTAGTAGCGTTGGGATCTCTGCAGCACAGCTCTTTACTGTGCCTCCAAGTTACAGAAAGTCAGGGAGAACATGCCACAGCTCTTCCCCATGCCAAGGGCATCTCAATTTTTTGAGGCACTGGTGTGAGGAGAACAACAATACAAGCCCTTCGCATGTGCTTCAAGGGTTCTCCCATGATGTAAGGCAGTACAGGCAAGCCCCCATTTACACGTGTTCAATATGTGTGCGGCCACGCACACGCACGTCACGCCAAACCTGGAAGCGACGCCCAAAGTCACAAAAACATCACCAAAAGGGACGGAATGGGGCGGGGTGGAATGGGGTGCCTGAAGGCTTTCCCAATGGTGTTTCAAATAAGTGCAATTTCATTGATGCGTGCGGTGCCTCAGAACGTAACCCTCGTGTAAATCGGGGTTTGTGTTTGTGTGTTTGCCTGTATGTTTGGGGGCGGGGTGTGATGCTACTATTGCAGCAGCTCTAACACCACCAAGATGTGGGGCTAGAACAGGGTGGGCAAACTTTTTCAGCAGGGGGCCGGTCCACTGTCCCTCAGACCTTGTGGGGGGCCGGACTATATTTTGAAGGGGGAAAATGAACAAATTCCCACAAATTACCCAGAGATGTATTTTAAATAAAAGGACACAGCATTCTATGCAAGAGCACTGGGCAGGCCCCACAAATAACCCAGAGAGGCATTTTAAATAAAAAGACACATTCCACTCAGATAAGCCACCCCCCCGACTCTCCCTGCCTTCTCCACAGGACTGGATGAGCCCCAGTGACTGCTTACCCGTGTCTTGCGAGCAGCAGGGGCTGGCAGTAGCGGGACGATGAGCGGTGCACGAAAGGGCTCCAGAAAGGGGCTGGCAGCAACAAAGGCCGAATCGAGCCTGCTTACAATGGTGGCCGCTGAAGCCCTAACGCTGCTGCTGCTGCTGCTGCTGCTGCTGCTGGCACCAACAAAGCCCAGCCCCCTTCCTCTTGGCTCTAGGCAGGGCGAGGAGAAGCCAGGAGGAGGGAGGGAGGGAGGATGCGCCGCCGAACACGTGTGCGCTGGTACAGCCCGAACGATCAGATCCACGCTGATCCATGCAGTGATTCCCAGACCGTCCACGGGCCAGATCCAGAAGGCAACTGGGCTGGATCTGGCCCCCAGGCCTTAGTTTGCTGACCCATGGGCTAGAATGTGACTGCTTGCATTGTGTTTCAGTACTAGGGGTACTAGGCAGGTGGGTTAGGGTGGGTTAGGGTACCTACGGGACTGCCTCTCCTGGTATACCTCTGGGAGGACCTTAAGGTCCACAAATGACAACATTTTGGAGGTCCCAGGTTGCAAGGTGGTTAGATTGGTCTCAACTAGGGCCTAGGGCCTTTTCAGTACTGGCCCCGACTTGGTGGAACGCTCTGTCACAAGAGACTAGGGCCCTGCGGGACTTGACATCTTTCCGCAGGGCCTGCAAGACAGAGCTGTTCTGCCTGGCCTTTGGTTTGGACTCAGTCTGACCCTTATGTTTCCCTCCCCTTATGGTTTTGATCTATGGGCTACTTTTAAAATGAGGCTGTATTTTAAATTGCATTTTAACCTGTATTTTAAATTGGTCCGCCCCCACCCCCTTTATGTTTTTACTGTAATTTTACTGGCCGGGGAGGGCGGGGTATAAATAAAATTTATTATTATTATTATTATTATTGCTTGCTCATTTCAACTTTTCTGATCACAAGGCTCTTTGTCGCTTGATATTTCACTCTGATCTTGCAGGCAACCAATACCTGGTTACAGCAGGCATCCAAGAACGTTCCTTATGCGAAAAATCTACAGGATAAATTAAGCGGACTCCAGGAGCTCAATTTTCAGAACATGGAACTTTTTGCCATCCCAGAGGAGCTTTTCTTGAAGAGGTAAAGCGAAAGATGACATGTCTTATTTGGTGCTGACAAGGACCCTTTGTGGCCTTGAAGCCGAGCCTCATTACTAAGGGCAAATTGTTCCTCCACAAGGTACACTGGTGTAAGATGCAGTTTACGACAAATGCCTGAATCAGAACCATGTTTCTAGAAAAAATATTGCAACGGTGGTCACCCATTGTCTTGCGCTTTGATCGCTCTTGTCAGCTTTCTGCTAAAATTAGCACATTTAGTATAAGGGGAGTATAGAAGGGGAGTGCAATCTGGAATTTGGGAAGGGACAATAGCTCAGGGCAGATAACATGCTTTTTATTTCAGGTTCAAGCCCTAGCATCTCCAGTTACAATGATCCCAGATAGCACATTATAGGAAAGACTCTCTGCCAGAGATCCCAGAGAGTATTGGTTAAATTATTTTTTATTTTATTTTATTTTATAAAAATTCAGTTTTACACTACATATTTGAATTCAAACATTAAACATAATCATTAACATTTAGGATTCCCCGAATCCTTTGACTTCCCTCCATCCTTCCATGGTTTCCATTTTCAATATTTTTCAACTGCATCATATATTTTCTCTGTTTTTCTTAAAATAATCCATTTTTACCAAAGTCTATAGTACATTACAAGCGTTACTCAAACCGCGCCAAAGTTTTCAGATTGTTTACAGTGTTCTCTTAGGTAATTTGTCAGTTTCTCCCATTCCTTATTAAAGCTCCTTTCTCCCTGCTTTCTGATTTTCCCGGTCATTTTTGCCATTTCAGCGTAGTCCATCATCTTCATCAGCCATTCATCTGTGGTTGGGACTTTATCTCCTTTACAGTACCAGGCCACTGGTATCCGTGCTGCTGTCGCTGCATCCATGAATAATCGTTTCTGCTTCTTTGATATCTCTGCACCTAAAATTCCTAGTAAAAAAAACTTCTGGTTAAATTTATGTACCACCTTTCATCCGAAGATTTCAGGACAGTTTACAGGATAAAAATACAGGGGATACAGGGGTGGATGAAGAAAAAATCCAACCTAGAATAGGGCAGCTTCCTAGGCAAAGTGCAACCATTTGTTATTTTGTGGACTTTGTGGGATCTTAATTATGGGTAACTTTTTATTGCAGTGATGGCCAGATCAAATACATTTGGAACAAAGAGAGTACTGTCATTACCATTCCGCTGCCGTTTGGTGGCAGGTCATCCTACGACATGAGAGTGCCTAAGATTCTGGAAATGTCTCAAATGGCAATGCAGTCAATGGGAGGAAATATGGCTTCTCAAGAGTACAGGCTTCCTCGTTTCACCATCCCAGAGTCATACACGCTTCGGGTGCCTTTGCTGGGCACCTTCGAGATCTCTTCCAATATGTACAGCAATTACTACAACTGGTCAGGTTCCTACTCCTTGGCGAACACCACAAAGGATGTCTACAGCCTAAGAACAAACTACTTTGTGAGAGCTGACTCTGTTCTGGAACTACTTTCATATAATGTACAAGGTAAGAATCTCTTCCGGAGGTGGTGGTGGAGATTATGAGCATATTACGTAATTAATCGTGTGTTGTGTTTTCTTGTCGGTTCAATACTTTTTACTAGAAATATGTCACAGGCTCATTTCTCTGTGCATCAAGAGTTAATATGATAAAATTAATAACTCATATTTGGCCAAGCCTCCTCTTGAGTTTGATAAAGCTCAAGCTCACAAGGCTCCTTGTGAATATATGATACCAGGGACTTACTCAATATTGTGACAGTTCATGCAAGGAATTATGGCAGCCTGATCATATTCTCCCATGTGCATTAATCTACCTAATGTGTTATACTAAACATGCAACACTATGAAGAAAAAATCCTATGCAATAGTCACATAGCAGTTTTGTTTTGCAATGTTGTCCGCAGTCTTCTTTGTGTTTGCCTTTAGAACAATGTTGAGAGAAACGGGTCACTGTTATTCAGCTGGGGAACTGAGGCTGAGATGTCACACCCAAGACTACTTAATGGCTGAGTTCTGATACTAAACCACAGCTTAATATTCCATAGATGAGTTTCGGTCTCAGGAGCTTCTGTCCAGCTGCAAAAAGATCAGAAACTTTTGCTTCTGTTTTCAGCTGACTGTGATTTATTATGTACAAACCTAGAACTATGGTTTAGGGACGCGAGTGGTGCTGTGGGTTAAACCACTGAGCTTAGGGCTTGCCAATCAGAAGGTCGGCGGTTCGAATCCCCGCGAAGGGGTGAGCTCCCGTTGCTCGGTCCCTGCTCCTGCCAACCTAGCAGTTCGAAAGCCCCTCAAAGTGCAAGTAGATAAATAGGTACCGCTGCGGCGGGAAGGTAAATGGCGTTTCTGTGCGCTGCTCTGGTTTCATCAGAAGCGGCTTAGTCATGCTGGCCACATGACCCGGAAGCTGTACGCCAGCTCCCTTGGCAAATAAATTGAGATGAGCGCCGCAACCCCAGAGTCGGCCACAACAGGACCTAATGGTCAGGGGTCCCTTTACCTTTACCTAGAACTATGGTTTAAGGCAGTAATCCCAAACTTGGATCTCCAGCTGTTTGTTTTTTTACTACAATTCCCATCATCCCTGACCACTGGTGTTGCTAGCTAGGGATGGTGGGAGTTGTAGTTCAAAAAGAGCTGGAGACACAAGTTTGGGAAACACTGGTTTAAGGCCACAAGCTGTGATAAGAAACCACAGTTTGAACTTGGTTTATTTTCCTAAACCAATCAGTTTGCATACAACATAAAGTGTAATTAGGTAAAATGAAAACAAAAGCTTTCAGTACCCTTAGGCCATGACACAGGGGGGGAAGGGAGGGTTTGCAAGTCTAAGGCACATTCCTGTAAAGCTAAAATCTGTTTTAGCAGTATGTCCAAATGCAGCCAGTAAGAAAGGGGAAAGCTGGACCCAGGTATCCAGAATTCCAGTCCAGCCCATTATCCATTGTACCACACTTTAAGTCTGTATGTTGTTGTGGCCTTTCCCCTTCCTTTACATTAAAATCTTTTCATGAAAGTGCAAAAGAGACTCCATTTGAATGGCACAAGCATTTCTATATCATCAGCTTCCATTATCTAAAAACCAAACCAAGCCAAAAAAACCCCAAACAAACCTCTGGTGAGAAAGTAAATTGTACAGTTACTTCCATCAGTAAATTCTACAGTTGCTTCCATTGGTGGTGTCTACAGCCAGAACCTAGTTAAACCTTAAATGCAAACTGAATGACAGTCTGGTTGCTAAATTGACAAACCCCACATATAATCTGTGTCTTAAAGGCTTCAATGGAATAATCCAAAACATGTCAGTACAGAAGTAAGCTATACCCAACTGAGCTCAATAAACCTTACTTTTAATGTAAGTCTTCATAGGATTGCAGGCTAAAATCCAAATGTTTGCTTTTAACTATGGTGGGCTTTAAGTTCCATTCAAGTCAATTCAACACACCTTTCCCAGTAAGTTCCATCAAAGTGGAACTTAACTTCTAGGTAAACATGCAGTAGTGTATATTTCTTGAATTTGGCTTGCAGGACCTATGAATGTAGAAGGGTGTGCAGTATATTCCAGCAAGGCACAGTAGCTCAAGTTATTTAGTTGTTGTTGTTGTTAAAAAAGTTGATTGTACTTTTCTCTTCTCTCTCCACCCCAGGTCAGGGAGAAGCAAGTTTTGATGGGAACAACATGGCTTGTAATTATGAAAGTTCACTGCAACACAAGCTGCTTAATTCAAATTTTAAATTTAGCGAAACAGGCAATTTTGAACCCACTCCTGTGGCCAGGAGGACCCTCACACTGGTAACATCCAGCCCGCTGGGTACTCGGTTTTCCCTGTCTTATGCTGAAGATGTCGAAATGAGTAACAACTTGCTTCTTCAAAACATAAACGTGGAAGGACAACTGAATGTCGCTTCAGCCTTTGCTAAAACCACAGGCACACTGTCAAGCACCTTTGATGTGAACCAACTCGTTTGGGCAGGAGAATCCAATCTAAAGTTTGACTCTTCCTTGCTTCAGGCTACTAACCAGATGACTGCCAGGTTTACAGGTGGCCCATGGACAGTCAAGTCCATCTCGAATGTACAGAATGGTTTTCTGACTAACACGGCTTCCTTGAAGTATGAAAACAGCCAGCTGAAGTTTTCCTCTGAGACCGCTGGAAACCACAGAAGCTTTGCAGTTGCCAACAAGTTTGACTTCTCTGTGGACAGAAAGGGAGCTGCGCTTCGCTCCGAGTACCAGGCCAATTACGCAGAAAACCAATGCTATGCCCTGATTTCGAGCTCTGTTAACGGCCAAGGTGTCGAGCTGATTAGCCACATATCTGGGAAAGGTGAAAGACTCAAAGCTGAGCACAAGTCTACATTAGGTGTTAACCTCGATGGCCTGGCAAGCACTGCAACAACAAACCTGCAGTTTAATCCATTGAAACTGGAGAACGAAATGAATGCCCGGATTGGTGTCGCTGGGGCTTCCGTGAAGATCAACACAGGAGGACACTTTGGGAAACACAATGCAAAATTTGATTTGGATGGAAGAGTGGCTCCCACAGAAATCGTGCTTACAAGTGTATATCAAGGCAGCATTTTGGATGCAGACAGCAAGAACACCTTAACCTTCAGAGTGAACAAGGGGGGACTGAGGTTTGCAAACAGCTTGATCGGGTCATACAAAGGAATGAAGCTGGAAAACACTCATGACCTGAACATCGTGGGCTTGTCCTTGACTTACGCTTCCAATTTAGACCACACCATCAGTCCGGGCAAGTCCCACAAACACCACTTGGACTTCCAGCTGCAACCCTATTCTCTCACAGCCAACGTGAACAATGACTTGAAATTCGGCAGTGCTGATCTAAACAACAACGCACGTTTACAACTTGAGCCCCTGAAGGTTAATCTGGATGGCAATGTGAAAGGTGCCTACAGTGGCGATGAAGTAAAGCATGCCTATACCTTTACCTATGCAGATCTGGTGGCGCATGTTAAGACCGACACAGTAGCGAGTATTCGAGGTGCAGCTCTCACCCACAGAGTTAACTTGGATGTTGCAGGTCTCTCTTCATCAGTCGTCATCAACACAAACTGTGACTCAAAATCCCTAACCTTTTCCAATGCAATACGATCTGTTGCAGCCCCATTTACTGTCACTGTTGACATGCATACAAATGGGGATGGAAGACTCTCAATCTTGGGAGAGCAGTCAGGACAGCTGTACAGCAAATTCCTGCTAAAAGTCGAACCCCTTGCTTTCTCACTTTCTCATGATTATCGGGGATCCACTGGCCACAACTTCAATTCTGAGAAAAGATACAAGACATTACTGGAGAACAAGGTCACTGCTCTTTTTACGCCATCTGAGCAAAGAAGTACATGGAAGATGAAGAGCCAGCTGAACAATAATGTGTACACTCAAGATTTTAGTGCTTTTAATGATGCAGAAACTATTGGGGTGGAGCTGGATGGAAAAACCTTAGCAGACCTTTCTGTACTGGACTTTCCTATAACTATACCATTCACAAACCGGGGGAGAGTCAATTTAATTGATGTTTTGGATTTAAGGGAAAATGTAGCCCAGACTCAAGAGTTTGGTCTTGCTCTTTCCGTGAAGTATGATAAGAATGAGAACATGCATGTCATCAATCTGCCCTTCTTGGAAAAGCTACCAGCTTACTATGAGCAAATGAGGCAGTCCATCCTAGCTGTACTCAAATCTATTCAGAAGAACCTAAAGGGTGTAAATATAGATCAGGTTGTGAGAAAATATAGGGCAGCATTAGATAAAATCCCCCAGCAGGTTAATAACTATGTGAAGACATTCGATCTGGAAAGCAAAGTGAACAACCTGAAAGAGAAACTGGATGCATTTGCAAAGGATTACAGCATAAGTGTGGATGACCTTGAACTTGCTTTGGAAAATGCCAAAACTAATCTCCAGGCAGCTTTGTCTAAACTCCAGGTTTTCCTGGTTGAAACTGAAAGGTATATAAGGAGCAATTATGACTTAAAGGCAGCTGTTGTGCAACTTATTGAGCAGATTATTGAAAAAATGAAAGTTATAGACAGGCAATATGAAATCAGTAAAAAAATGATTGACACTATTCATCAACTGCAATCTGCCATCTCTCAGTATGACTTTAACCAGATAGGAAGCAGTGCTGCTGCTTGGGTTCAAAATATGGATGCTGAGTACAAAATCAAAGCTCGAGTGCAAGAAAAACTAGATCAACTGAAGAAACAGATACAGAATATAGATGCCCAAAGCATTGCAGAGAGTTTGAAGCAGCAAGTGGAGGCAATTGATATTAGAACACTTATAGAGAAGCTGAACGTGTCCTTTCCCATTCAAAAACTTAATCAAATTCTGGAGCAAATTAAAGATCTTCTTCTAAATTATATGGAGGACTACAAAGTGACTGAGAAGATCAATATACTTCGGAACAAAATGCATGAACTTATTGTGAACTATGGAGTTGATCAGCAGGTCAAAGTTCTAATGGACAAAATAGTTGAGTTGTATAACCAACAGAAAATTGGAGAGACAATCCAGAAATTAACCCTCTCTCTGAAAAAAATTGACATAAAATCATTCTTCAACCAAGTACTGAAATTCATTGATGATGCTGTTAGGCAGCTCCAATCATTTGATTACACAAATCTGGTGGATGAAGTCAACAACTTTCTTGATTTTGTTATCAAGAAGCTGAAGTCATTTGATTACAACAAATTTGTAGATGAAACAAACAATAAAATCCGGGAAACAACACAGAAAATCAATGATGAAATCAAAGCCTTGGAGCTACCTCAGAAAATGGAAGCTACAAAACAATACATCAAAGATATCGCTGCTGTGGTTTCTCAGAACATACAGAAACTAAAAGACACTAGACTTGCCATCATCGTTAACTGGCTTAGTGATCTCCTAAGCTCAACAGCATTAAGTGAACTGAAAAGTAAAGCTTGTGAGTACCTGGAAGATGCACGTGAGAGAATTTATCAAATGGATATCCCATTAGAAATCCGGGGATACCTTGAGAAGGTCAGCCAGCTCTACAGCACCATAATCACCTTCCTAGATGATCAATGGAAAACTGTCTCAAAGAAGATTACCCTTTTAGCTGAGCAATACAATGTAAAAACTATGGCTGACAGTTTCAACCACTTTGTTGAAACTGGTTTCAAAGTTCCTGAGATCAGAGCAGGCATAATCAACATACCAGCTTTTGAAGTCAGTCTCCGGGTCTTGCGGGAAGCCACCTTTCAAACTCCAGATTTCCTTATTCCACTAACTGACCTGCGTGTCCCATCTTATCAGGTAAACCTCAAGAAATTGAAAGAAATCAGAATTCCAGTCAGATTTACTACTCCTGAGTTCACCATTCTAAATACATTCAAGGTGCCATCTTATACAATTGATTTGAATGACATCAAGCTGAAGATTGTGAAGACGATTGACCAGATCATGTCGAGTGACTTTCAGCTGCCAACTGCTGATGTGTATTTCCAAGATATAAAGATGAAAGATATGTATTTTTCTGACTATTCTTTCCCAGAAATGAATTTCCCTGAGCTCCAAATACCTGAATTACTGATCCCAAAACTAAATTTGAATGAATTCCAGTTCCCAGAGATCCAAATTCCAGAATTCCAGCTGCCCCGCATTCCACACTCTGTGATGGTCCCTACATTTGGAACATTGTCTGGCGCTTTCAAAGTAACCTCTCCCTTCTTCACGTTGACTACTAATGGTGCTTTTAAGAACACAACAGCTTTTGCCCACAGCCCAGAATTTTTGGGGTCTATTTCAGCAGTAGCAACATCCAAAATCAACTGCCTTGCTTTTGAAATGACTGCAGATACAAGTCTCTCTGCTCCCGAGATGCAGCAGTTAATCCTAAGAGACAACCTGAAGTTCTCCCACGTGTACATTGATGCTATTCATGCAGGTGAAATAACATTTTTGGGGACTTCTGTTCGGGGAAATGCAGAAACTACAGCAAAATTCCATACTGAGCGTAACTCTATAGATCTGTACAACCAATTAACAGGCAGCCTCCAGAAGAAGATTTCATTAGAGAGCAGGACAACCTACAGACACAGGCTATATATTCCAAATTTCAGCAGCCAAGCAGAATTAAGTAATGAAATAAAAACAGCACTAGAAGCAGGACGCATATCAGCTACTTCCATTGGCAGAGGAGACTGGAAATGGACAGCCTTTGATTACTCTGGTGAAGGAACCCATGAATCAAGTGTCAGCTTCGGTTTAGGGGGATCTGTAGCTTCATTCGTAGCACAAAACAAGATCAATGATAAGTACTTGAGAGTCGACCAAAGACTGGCATATGAGTATAATCTACCAAGTTCTGCAAGGCTTGAAGTTCAATCTGTAGTAGAATCTCCACAGCTGGGACGTAGTGACTTAAATGTGCAAGGCACAGGGAATCTTGCAGAGCTCAAAACAGAACTGAGGGGCACACACAATGCTAAGTTGAACGGACGCATATCTGGGACTATAAATAATGATGTGAACTTCTTGGTGCAGCCCTTTGAACTGAGCACATCAACAAATAATAACATGAATGTAAAAGTTAGCTTCCCAATGAAAATCGTTGGCAAAATTGAGCTCGTGAATAATTATATACTGGCACTGAGTCCCTCCACTCAACAAGTCAGCTGGGCAGCTGAGGGCAGATTTAATCAATACAGATACGTCCATAACATGTCTGCTGGTAACAACGAAGAAAATATTGAAGCTTCTGTGTCCATGAATGGTGATGCTAACTTGGAGTTCCTAAAAAATCCCCTCTCGTTTCCTGAACAATCTATCATGGGCATCAAGACACCCCCCATGCAAGGATACTCTCTGTGGGAGGACTCAGGGCTGAAGAATTTACTGAAGACTACAAAGCAATCATTTGATTTAAACCTGAAAGCTCAGTACAAGAAGAACAAAAATATGCACTCGTTTCAAATTCCTTTGGATGGAGTACATCAAGCCCTGAATCAGTACATTGCAACCTTCAACAGGCACTTTGAGAAAGGTAGAGACAACACCTTAGCGTTCCTGACCGAGTCCTATAACCAAGCCAAGACCAAGTTTGACAAGTACAAAATAGATACTTCAGTTAACAAAGTCCCACAGACATTCAGGATTCCAGGGTACACTGTTCCAGTGGTCAACATTGAGGTATCTCCTTTTACTGCTGAGCTCCCAGCTTTTGGCTATGTGATCCCTAAAGAAATGAGCACTCCAAGTTTCACTGTCCCACTTGTTGGGTTTTCAGTGCCATCCTATACATTGGTCCTTCCATCATTGGAGTTACCAGTCCTTCATGTTCCCCAAGGTCTGCAGACTCTCAAACTTCCCAGCTATCGAGCACACTCGCCTTTAAACAGAATCTACATTCCAGCCATGGGAAATATTACCTATGAATTTTCATTCAAATCTAGTGTGATTACCCTGAACACAAATGCTGGCCTTTTTAACCAATCTGATATCATTGCTCGCTTGAGTTCATCCTCCACTTCTGTGATTGATGCCCTGCAATATAAATTGGACGGAACAACCAGCCTCACAAGGAAAAGAGGGTTGAAGCTAGCGACTGCATTATCCCTGAACAACAAATTCATAGTGGGAAACCACGACAGCACCATCAGTCTCACCAGGAGAAATATAGAAGCTTCAGTGATTACCACAGCAAAAAGCAGCATGCCAGGCTTGAACATGAATTTTAGGCAGGAGCTTAAGGGAAATGCTAAATCAAAGCCAGTCATTTCCTCAGCTATTAATCTAAACTACGCTCTTGACACTCGTGGTGCTACTGCTGAAGGAGCAATTGTCCACAAGGCCACCTTGGAAAGCATTGTATCTTATATATCTGTAGATACTTCAACCAATGCTTTCATCAACGGAGTGCTTCACAAGAGAAAACCATTTTCTGGAAAGTTGGTTCATGAAGCAGATGCCTACCTAAATGCTAAAGGTGCTCGTTCCTCAGTCAAATTTGAGACCAGCTCTGACATTGATGGAATTTGGAAGTTTGACACAAAAGAAAATGTTGCCATTGAAGCATCCACTCGTCGTCTTTATGCATTATGGGACCACAATGGAGAAAATCATCTGAAATATTATCCGATTGTCAGAACTGAAGGACATCAGAACTGCAAAGTGACTTTAGAAGTAGAGCCTGGAAGTATGTCCATGCGTCTTCAGATACAAGCTAGCCAACCAAATAATTTCTTCGGTGAGACTTCAGTTATTCAAGACTTTTCCGTTGCCACCAACAGTGAGAATCAGAAGATTGAGTGGAAGATCGAAGGCCAAACCCTCTCCCTCTTCCTTGGACATCACTTGCAGTTATCGAATGACAACACAGAAGCTCATTTTGACCTGTCCAGTTCTTTGGGAGGTCATGTAGCTTTCCTCAGAGGTCTTGTGCTGCCAGTTTATGACAAGAGCTTATGGCAGATCTTGAAATTAGATGACACCACTAGTCCTGGAGAAAGGCAATACTTAAATGTGTCAACATCCTTCGTATACACAAAAAATGAAGATGGGTACTTTATCCCCATAAATGTCAACCAGCTGACGGATGGATTTACATTCACAATTCCTGAAATTAACTTACGGGATATCAAAATCCCCCAAAGACTGACCACCACGCCATTTCACATTGGATTTCCATCACTTCCAAAAATTCAGTTTCCTCAGTACGATGTAGTGACCAGCTTGAAAGAATATAAAATTCCCTACTTTGAGGTGACTATACCTGAGAAGCTATTAACTGTATCTGAATATACTCTTCCAAAGACCCTTTCTCTGGGTAAAATCTTTGTGGACTTCAGCGCTGCAGCCAAGAAGATAGCTGACTTTGAGTTGCCTACGATTACTATTCCTGAACAGCAGATTGAAATCCCAGCCATTAAAATCTCCTTCCCTGCTGGAATCTACATCCCCACTTTTGGAGCTTTAGGTGTTTCTTTCAAAGCTGCTTCACCATTGTACAGTACCACCTGGAAAATAGATTTCAAGAACCATAAAGACTCTTTCAACCATTCCATTGATTTTACTGCATATTCACCACTGCAGTTCCTGGCCTATGATCTAAAAGGTAAGATATTAGATATAGATATAGATATAGATAGAGATAGATATAGATATAGATATAGATATAGATATAGATATAGATATAGATAAAAGTTTTAGGTGTCTTGGATCCTGAGGGAAGTTCTTTGCAAGGGAAGTGTGTCCCATCCTCTCCATTGTGGAAGGAAAATGAAAGAGTGTGCTAGGAATCTGATACTTCAGGCAGAATCTGAAGTAATAGGAATTATACTTCAATTTTTAAAAGAGTTTCACCAATATTTCAGTAATATTTTCAGCTGTCCCATAAGGCAGACTAACATTATTATGTAATCACATATTGCTGTTGGAGGTGGCCAGGGACCAAATATGAAAGGTCAACTAGGTAGTTTAAGGCTAGAGGAAGATTTTGACTCATAGAGGGACATTTGAACCAGGAATATCCATTGTTCTCCTCCGAGTCACTGCCTTTTGCACTTTCCCCTTCCTCAAAACACATTTTCTTATGCCCTCTCCTTTTTGGAGTATCTCTGGTATGGAGATACTCCAAAAAGGATCCTCCATGGAGAGGAAAAAGTGTGGGAATGCCATGATTTTGAGGAGCACCTCATATGGACAAAGATGGAGGTACAGGAAGCTTTCTATCCCCATTAAGCAACACCTATAGATGAGCCCCTAGTTTACAGATGAGTCTGTGCAGTAGACCAGCTCTCTATAATAGCTGCAGCAGATCCTGTAAAATGTAGAAACCAGTGACAAAAACTTCTGCATTCAGTGCAGCAATTTATTATTTAATGGAAAAGTGAGATGTTGAGTACACATTATCTCAGCCCTAGACTTTCAATGCAGGGTCCATTTACGTTAGCTGTAATTTCACCTGTGTGGAACCTTTTCTTCATAGGTGTGTGGATCTACAAAGGTAACAACATCGAAGGGAACAGCCATTTTGTGCATCGTGACCTGAGTGCAGAATATAAAGAGCGTCTCACTGTACTAGAAAATGGGTAAGGATTTGTTTTCGTCAACCTAAACGGCACACTCTATAGGCAATCCCAGTTCAGTGAGCTATGGCCATTATAAAATGTGTGCTAAATGTTGTCCTTTCACTTAGTGTGCTCCTAACAACCCTCTCTCCCCCCAAAATGGGAGAAGGGAGGGAATGACATCCAAGGAAACATGTCTGAAGGCGCCATCTGCTCTCCTTTGAGATTTGAAGACCTTGCGTGATAGTCAACTAAGTCATATTCAGTGGGTTTACTCTGTGTTTGACAAAATTGCCTATCACGCAAGGTCTTTTTGTGGATTCCATCACCAGATATGAGACTTTATTCCAAAGTGGGGCAGAATCACTTCACTGGTTTCCTGGCAGCTGGGTCTTCTGCTGCTTGCTGGGAGGGAGAGTGGGGTGTTGGCAACCACACCAGCAGCAAAGCCAATATGGTGCTTCTAACTGTGCATTTGAGTTTTTGTGAAGGGCAGGGGACAAATATTTATAATAAACAAATGAGTGCCTGGATAGCTCAGTTAGTAAGAACATGGCCCAGATCATGACAAGGTTGCAGGTTCAATCCCCGTATGGGACAGCTGCATATTCCTGCATAGCAGGGAGTTGGATTAGATGATTCCAGTTCTATTTTTCTAGAAAAGAGGTGTTGGAGCTCACCATGAACTTCTTCCTTGGCAATGGCACCCACCTGAGAGGTGCCAGAGCTGAGCTCCAGTTGTTGTTTTTTAAAAAGCCCTGGATGGAATCCTCAGCTTCCCTTCCAACTCTACAATTCTATGATTCTAAGTCTTCTGAGATAGACAGTCATTTAAAACCAACTGTATTTTTAAATTAATAACAATTAATAATTACCTTTTCTCTGATTGATTCTGCCTGCTTTAGAACCACTGACTACACGATATATCTGGATGTCACCAGCCCAACCTTCACTGATGTTCAAGTGCGTTTCCATGAACAGACCGCAAGAGTTGCTACCTCAATATCTTCATCTTCAGCTGGAACCCTTGGCTCTCTCATCAGTCTGGATATGGATACTTTCAAGGGCGAGGTTTTCTACCGAACTCTGGTAAGCATGGCCAGAATTAGGCCGTGTGCTCTTGCTTAAAGGATCATGAACTTACTACTGGCACAGTGCCCATCTTTATGATAGATGGGTTTGAAGGCAGAAGAGGGGGAAGTCAAGTTTTATTGTGACAGTCCTGTATTGTGAGGTCCCTGTTAACTGAGTTGGACTGGTTCACACCAGGAACAGAGGTGCGGTGAGAACAGGATGCTCTGTGACAAAGGGAAATGCCACTTCTGGGGTCTATCTTTCCATTTGCCACAGCATAGTTGCTCTGCTTCCCTCTTTCGCCTCCTCAGCGTAAACTGAGTTTTTCAGAATTTGAATATGTCGCCAGACTTCTAGCAGTACCATGAGGGGAAGACTAAGATGTGTGTTTTCTAAGGCCACTTTTAACTTATTTGTAGATGTTAGCCGAATGCAGGCTTCTCCACCTGTTGCCCCCTCACCCCCAACTTGTTAGATTACAACTCCCATCATCCCTGATAGTTGGCTATTGGATTTTTAAAGTATAAATGATTACTGCAGAAGGAAGCTATATCTATGCACCGGGTCATATTCATATTTCATGTTACTTTTTATTTCCCATATTTTAGTGTCCTTGGGTTGACTAAAATTATTTAATAATTTAGATAGGCTTAGGATTTAAGTGTGTTAGGAAAGAATTTAAGATGTTTAAAGACAAATCTGAAAGAATGAAAGATGTCAAGTGACTAAGTTAAATTTTATGAGAAAATTGAGTTTGGAATGATATATAATGAAATTCAACCAAGAGGATTTGAGGAAGTCACTAAATAATGTTACCAAGATTTAAATAGGATGTATGTTTGTGTGTGTGTGTGTGTGTGTGTTTGTTTGTTTGTGTGTTTGTGTTTTAAAAATCTTTGGAAAATTAATAAAAATGTTGAAGAAGAAAAAAATAATAATTTAGGAAGGGCAGGCAAACAGGCACAAGCCATAACCACAGATATGATAAACATTTTCTATTAGTGGAAAACGTGTCTTGGGCTTTTCTTGGCAAAGTAGTGGGTGAGTGACAGTTCCTAAAAATGTGTTTTGCATTTGCAGTCTAATCCTCAGGAAGACGTCAATGTCTTTAAAAGCGAGATATCATTCCGAAATCCTGAACTGATTCAAGTCAAAGCCAACTGGAAAGAGGATGCTGCCATAGACCTACTTGAAGGCTTAAAAGAGAAGGTGCCTAAAATAGCCGGTGCTTTGTACAACTGTGTTAACAAGTACCACCATGAGCATATGGGTATTGAGATCAACACTGCCACCTTGAAGCTGAAGGACAACCTGAAACATAATGCTGACACGGCTTACAGAGGTACTTTAAGCACTATCAACGAACTGGAACAGGGGCTGCATGGCATAACTAAACAGGTCACTGGGGAATATGAAATCTTGAGGAAGAAAGCCAAGACGCTGTACCACCAAGCTGCAGATCAAGCCAACCAGATGGACTATGACCAAATCAGAGCCCAGTTTTTTGAAGCCACCATGAATATAATCGCAGAATACCATAAAAGGGTGAAGCGTCTTATTGATTCTGCCATAGAATTCTTGAAGGTAACAAAATTCCAGGTGCCAGGAGTAGACGGAGAGCACACTGGTGAAGAACTTTATGTGATGGCCACTGAGAAGTTAGCAAACACCGCAGAGCTCTGCATCACAAAAATGCAGGAATATTTTGATGACCTGAATGCATATGCGAATGAACTAGAGGTTAAAATTCCAATTTCCGGCCAGACCCTCAAAGTTCGTGACATACTTGATGAAATTAAGGTCTTTCTAACACATGTTAGAAATAGAGTCAGTAACCTGTTTCTTGCCCTTGAAAAGATTGACTTCACACAATATCTAAGGGAGCTCAAGGAAGTCACTCAGCAAGTTTTCAAAGCAGCAGAAGATCTGATTGCAAATTTGAAAGCCCAAAACTATGAACATTTAAAAGCCCAGGCAAGACAATTCTCAGTCAAGATCCGGCAAGGACTCAATGAGTTAGCAAACAATATAGGATACTTCGCTCAGCAGGTTGGAAAGTTTATCCAGCAGACTTTGCAGGTTAGTTCCGTGGAGATAGAGCGTTTGCTGCAAAGCATCAAAGCCCTGCGGGAGGAATATTTTGACCCAAGCATTGTTGGGTGGTCTGTCAAATATTACGAAGTGGAAGAGAAGGTGTTGGCTTGGCTGAAGGGTCTGATCAATGATGTGGTAGAATGGCATGCCAAATGGATCAGTGGGGCTTCTGACATGGTTGCACACCTGACAGATCAAGTGAAAGATTTTTTGGAGAACTATGAAACTGAATTCTCCAAGTCGGCTCATGACAAGATTCTATATTGGTCAGAAGCTGCTAAGAAGAGTGCTGCAGAACAAAATCAAAAAGTCAAGGCAAAGGTAAATGAGGCATACGAGCACCTGTCTGATTCCTATGCAAGGCTTATCGCTAACACTAAGACCCTGATAGACCTGACAATAGAAAACTATACTGCATTCCTCCGGTACCTCCAACAGCTTCTGGATCAGTTTGAACAAGCGACAGCTGACACACTGAGGCCCTATGTCGTTGTCCGCCAAGGAGAGCTCAGGATAGACATCCCAAAACCATTTGACTTGCCAACCATTTATCAGATGAGCCAGCTCAGTGAGGAAGATATGAGAAAGAAACTGGAAATAACGCGGGAACTGATTCAGCAAGGTGTCGAACAAAGCTCCAGGAAATGGGAAGATCTGCAATATTTCATTGATCAGCAGATCAGCGCTGGGCAACTGACCATGCAACAGATCAAGGAAAATGTACAGAAGCGCTTGCAATCTTGAACAGACAAAGAGAAAGAAAGGTAGTGCAAGCTTTTACCACGCCATATTTAAAGCCAGCGGCAATCATTGCTCTTGGAACATCAGAAAGCTATTTGTTTGAATTTGGCATTTGTAAATGAAAACGGAATAATTTGTGGGTTAGTCTAATGCTTTTCAAAAGCCAATAAATTAATTCTTTGTGACATTTTAGTGTCCTTTCATTGAAACCAGTTTTCTTTTAGGTCATAGGTCATAATCCAGTATTTTTTAATGGAAGCATTTTCAGAGGCTTCAGATGGAACAGGGCCAGAACCCACATTGAGCAAAACGTTTTGAAAATTGCTTCAATGGAAGATGAGAACCCAATGGAACAAGAAGTAGCATGTGATGAAAAAGTCAGCCTAAGAACCCAGCTTAAGAATGTGAACTATAAATAAATTTTAATTAGGCAAGTAACAGGAGGAAAGTAGGCAGAAGCGTACGTGTTGGGTTGGAATGTGCATTCTCCATAAAACGAAACAAAGGCATCATCAGTGAATAAAATTGATCTGTCTACAAAGTTAAACATTAAGTTTCTTTTGTGCCCTAAATAGTCCTCTAACCAGTCAAGGGTCAAGCACTGTACTTGTCAACATAGTTTCCCTTTTTTCCGTCAACCGTGTTAGTATTTTCTGGTTTGTAGAACCATTATTTTTATATTTCTATTTTAATTGTTGAATATTTTATTTTTGGTTCAATCCAAGGCCCACCATTGTTTCAGGCAATCTTCAGCTTAAACTGAGGTTGTCAGCTCCTTGTTCTGAAGCAGGCTGGTGTCCCACTGTTTTTACTCTGCCAGTACTACTTAAATAGGCAAAATTCATTAGAGGCAGTATTTCAAGAATGAGCACTCTCTTGCTGCTCAGCTGTTGAAAGTGCAGAATCCTTCTCTGGGCAACCCCGCAGGAAGGCCGCCTGTGAATATTCCTGAGTTTGAAAATTCTGAAATTTCTGAAAGCAAAATATTTGGGCCTAATAATTTATTTGGTTTTATATTTAGCCATTAGAACACACTGTACATATCAGAGATCAGACTAATAGGATTCCCACCCTTTCCCGTTCCCTTCTTGCTTTTCTCAGAACAAACTTGTTTTGCAATGTCAGTAGAAAAGTTGTGTATATGTATCCTTTAATTAAACAGTTCACTCTGCTAGTTTTTGTATTTTTTTCCCCTTACCTTGTTAATTTATGAAAGGAGGTTTGCTCTGTTTCGTTTTCTTTGAATCATATTCTTTTCATTCTCTTTTCCTGGGAGACTTTTTGGGCTCGTTACAAAGGGATTTTGCAAGTGTGTTCTAAGTCTGTCAGAGATCTTTGGAAAACGATTCTCATTATTGGAAGCTAAACCTTTGGCAGAGGAACCAAAGAATTTCAAGAATAGCCCTATCAACTCCATCCCATCATGGTTTCTCCATTTTGTTTATGGGGTTTTGCTCACAGGATGCTTTGGCTAGGGTCAGTGAAGAGTCTGTGACTCTGTTGGGTAGGAGGCAGCCCGTCCTTCTCACCCACTTGAAATGGTTTACATATACAAAACCAATTGTGAGGCCTACACTTTGATGAGCAGCTCAATAGTCATGGGCTTTCACTGCTTCCAGAAGGTCTGGGTCCGGGCAAGTCTAAAAAAGAAGAGAATTAAGAGAGGCCTCTCTGCAGCCTTGGTGTTCTGACTTAGCACACAGATAGTAAGCTGAAGAGGGCATTCCTCATTGATCTTAAAAAGTTGAGGTGGGACTAGAGGCTGTTGGTCATCATCAGCACTGAGTTAAGCCTGGAAGAAAGTGGTGCAGATACCAGTGTCCCAATGCCATGTGATCCTGGCAACCCTTCAGGTGGGCCACATTGCAGTTTGCATTACCTTGCACAGCTTTCAAACTGTGACCCTTGACAATGCCAGTGATGTGACATGTCCTACGCAGCTTTTCCAAATGTTCTGCTATTGCTCTAAGTAACGGTATACATAAGGGACCCTTCTCGATGGGAACGAAAGCTCTCAGGTGAAATGCTTCTAGGCAGTCAGATGGTGGCACTATGCACAAAGTTCCACTGGGGGCCGTTCTGAGCTCATTAAAATGTGTGTTATGCTGCTCATTGTCTCGTTCTCATTCTCTGCTCTGATTTCCCCTTGGTTACCTAGTTGGAAACTGTACCCCTGATAATTCATACACACACACACACACGGACAACCTCTAACAAATGTTGCTAAGTGAGGAACTGCTACCTGTTAAGAATCTATGGTTTGGGGATTCACTGAAGTGTGCGGTTTTCCCACACTAGTATTTTAAAAGGTTATAGATCATGTGTGCATAATAGGCAGAACATTAGGTCACTTGTCTCACTTACAACAATAATCCATTTTGATATGGGTCAGGTTGACACAAAGAATCTACCCATACCAGGTCTATTGATGAAACTGATCCCCTTTCCCCCCAAACTAATGAAATTTTCAACTAATGGGTACTTAAGTTAATAAAGTGTGCCACACATCTGTTAGGAGCCATTTGTAAAAGAAACCATTGGGAGTTCAGCTCTGAGATCACTGATATAACGTTTGAATGGCATCCCACTGGGAAACAGCATGGTATCAAATTAAGGAAAGTAACACAATAAATGTGTGAGAAATAACATTAGTGCATAAACAGTAAGGAAGAGAAGAGAGCTTGAGGGGGGATGACTGCCACTGGGTGTCCACAAAACTACTACTAATAAATTATCAGGGCAAATCCTTATCCCCTACTGGTGGCTTTGGCATTGACTTAAATGAATCATTTTCAGAACAAAAACCACATCAAAATAATAATGATGAATTGATAAATTATTTTACAATGATAATAATAATTTACACACACCTACAAAAAATACACTACACACAGTGTACCCATCATAATTCTTTGTACATAATTATTTTACTAAACTCTTATCACAAGAATATTATTCTCCAGCTTCTTGCTGCATTAATACTTAGTGATTGACAACCTCAGAATTTTGTTCTTCTTATCATCCCAATTTAACTTATCCCTCTTACACTCCACCAGTTTAATAATCTCTCTCCACATATTGGCAGCATTTTCACTTCACATTTCACACATCATTGTGCAGCCCATAGAAATAATGACAAGAAAAAAATCTATAATAATGTGTGTGTGTTCTAAAGCCCATTCATTGCTACTTAGAGAGTCAAAACATAGATGGATGATGGATAGATGATGATAGATATAGAGATAGATAGATAGATAGATAGATGATAGATAGATAGATAGATAGATAGATAGATAGATAGATATAGACAGATAGATAGATAGATAGATAGATAGATAGATAGATAGATGATAGATAGATAGATAGATAGATAGATAGATAGATAGATAGATGATAGATAGATAGATAGATAGATAGATAGATAGATGATAGATAGATAGATAGATAGATGATAGATAGATAGATAGATAGATAGATGATAGATAGTTGTATGCCCCCCATCTCCCAAGTGGTGCAAGATTTCAAGAGTTCCAGGCCACAAACTATTAACAATATCATGATAACAATGGTACTGCCCCAAATGAAAATGGTTCACATACATTTGAGCTGACCATGTTAGAATTATAAATACAAATTTAGTTTTTGTTCCTTGCCACCATGCAGCCAAGAAGTGCCTCGAGACATTAGGTATTAAAATAGGGAATTCAATATACATAGATTGGCTCATCAGAGCATTCTAGTAGGGCAGAACTTGAACCATTCCTTCAATGTCTTCCAATAATGCAAAAACTTTGCATGACTTTTTACTCTTGCCCTGTCTCTCTGCTCTCATATCCTACCCACAGCTTTTGCCCCTCCAGACCCAGTACATTCAGCTGCCCACAGGTGTCCTACTCCCTCAAACAACTTGGTCCATTCTTCTCTTGCTACTTGGGACATGCCTTCCAATCCACCTGCATGATGCTTTCACCTCTTCAAATTGGTCCTCAAAGAAGATGTAATTGACATAATTGGGGTAATAAGACGTTGGCTTGACAATTCATTTGTGGGTTTCCTAGAACCCCCTAGTGACTCTGCCACTGCAACCCAGTCTGTAACTAAGCTTCATTCAGGGTCTACAAGATGCCGGTTTCAACTGTAGCATCTGTCACAAGTTACTTGTGTACAGAGGCATGTTAGAGTGTAATCTAAGTCCAAAATCTTTTGTATAAAGTTCTAGATCAACTGCCAAGGGGCGTTGCAGCATTTGCCTGCACCCAGGGCATGGAGGGTGAAAAAAAACCTTTTGTGCCAGCCCAGCCCTCACCATCAATGCCACTGGGCGGGCACAGGGCAAGGAGGGTTCATGGGGCCACACTATGTTGCCTGCCCATCTTTGCATGGGAACCCAGCCAGCCGGCTGGGCAGATATTCAGTAAAGGGGCCAAGGACATGGCAGCAAGGACAGAACAGACTCCAGGGTCCAGAGATCCCGGGCGGCAGGCAGGACAGGACAGGGATTCCTGCATGGGGGTGCCTGGTTTGCACCCCCTGAAAATCATGTGCCCGGGGTTATAGCCCCCCCCCCCCGCCTACCCACGCTATGTCCCTATACCTGCCCTCTTTTTGTTAAAAAAGGTGGGGGGAGCAGAAATATGAAACAAACAAGCAAAACCATTAAACAAAAACATGCATTTTTAAAAACTGAAAGAAAAACATGGAATTTTTAGTTGGAGTTCAGCTCACTTAAGCCCCACTGATTTCATAGGGGTCAATGATTTCAACAAAACCACAAACAAAAAGAGAAAACTACCCCCCAACCCCTTCCCTGGTTCACGAAGCAACAGCAGCACAGGCGTCACAATTTTACATCTCTGATGAGTTGTCAGTAAACGGAAAGTAAGTGCCTAGAGAAGTAAAAATGCATTATCTCAGAGATCAACACAGCAGTACTGCTTTTTTAAAAAAGGATTAGTCTTTCTTTCTTTCTTTCTTTCTTTCTTTCTTTCTTTCTTTGGCGCATAAGATGGCAAAGAGCAGCAAAAAACCAGTTCGTCTATCCAAAGGCAAGCCTGTGCTCACAGTGGAAACAATCATGTTCTACTGCATTAGCAAAGTTAATAAACAGAAATCAAACTGATTCAAAAGCCTCCTTTTACTGTCCTCACTTTTTGCGATAATTTTCCAAAAGAGCAGCCTGCCGCACTCTCAGATACCACAGATCTACAGTGGTACCTCGCGTTACATACGCTTCAGGTTGCATACGCTTCAGGTTACAGACTCCGCTAACCCCGAAATAGTACCTCGGGTTATGAACTTTGCTTCAGGATGAGAACAGAAATCACATGGTGGCAGCAGGAGGCCCCATTAGTTAAAGTGGTGCTTCAGGTTAAAAACAGTTTCAGGTTAAGAACAGACCTCCGGAACGAATTAAGTACGTAACCAGAGGTACCACTGTAATGCCATTCCATGAAAACCTTCCAGTTGTGAGGCATGATTGTCCCTACTTCTGCCAATAAGTGACCCAGAAATTACATATGTTTCAGTTAAACTATCTATCTATCTATCTATCTATCTATCTATCTATCTATCTATCATCTATCTATCTATCGGTTTCACAGTGCTAACTGAGAGGAGGGTTGGACCCATTGCTACAAACTTGCAGCCAATTCTTGGGGGAGGAATGCGTCTGTTGACGTTTCATGATTCTGTTAATACTCAGTCTTCAAATTCTTGTTCGTGAAGGAATCTGTGTTTTTGTCTCCATGATTCATAAAGGCAATGTATCATTTAATAACACCCTGAAAAAACTGTATTCTTGCCATAACCTAAAAACAGCAGTTGACCACTTGACGAGTTCTGCTTAAATTATTGAGTGATCTTATTTCCTAATTCCCAAGTGAATTTGTGTTCATGTAGCATAAGTATTCTCACATCTGGCATCTTGATGGCAAAATCTCAGGAGCAGAGCCGAAGGCTAGAAATATAGGCCCATTCTCTCTCCCACCCCCTTCTGAGAATTCAACCTGTGAGAGCTGTACCAGAGGCTGCAAAACATTTATTTATTGAATTTCTATCGCTCCCTTCGTCCCAAAAGAGTCCAGGACAGCAAACACCAATAAACCTATATAAACATCTTCAAAACAATTCCAATACAGATGCAGACTGGGAAAGATCTCTACTTGTTGGAATTGTAGGTGCCAGAAACAAAACAGAGGAGACTAATAATAATAATAATAATAATAATAATAATAATAATTTATATACTGCCCTTCACCTGAAGATCACAGTGTGGTTTACAGCATAAATATACAAAATGAAAACTTAAAATACATCTCCTAGTAAGAACAAAAATAACCCCTCCCACAAACACATTTAAAAGGCCATAGATTGCTTAAAAAGCCAAAGGCCTGGTTAGCAAAAGTACATTCGAAAGGGCAGGTGACAGGATTGTCTTGTCCACTGAATGGAAGGGGTTTGACTAGATGATCCTCGTAGTCCCTTCTCTCTACAACTCTATGATTCTTACCAATAACAGTGGGTGTTTACCTGGAAATAACTCCCTGTCTTCAGTAGGACATACTCCCAAATGATGATCCACAATATTAAGTTTCCTTTGATTGTGTGACAGCTTTGTGAGGTAAAGAGCACTTTCCATGTCAGCCGAATTTCTCTCTACGTAATGACCCTCAGTTGTTTCACCTTGCCGACAAAAGTCCGTATAGTTAAAGCCATGGTTTTCCCAGTAGTGATGTATGGAAGTGAGAGCTGGACCATAAAGAAGGCTGATCACCGAAGAATTGATGCTTTTGAATTATGGTGCTGGAGGAGACTCTTGAGAGTCCCATGGACTGCAAGAAGATCAAACCTATCCATTCTGAAGGAAATCAGTCCTGAGTGCTCACTGGAAGGACAGATCCTGAAGCTGAGGCTCCAATACTTTGGCCACCTCATGAGAAGAGAAGAATCCCTGGAAAAGACCCTGATGTTGGGAAAGACTGAGGGCACAAGGAGAAGGGGACGACAGAGGATGAGATAATAACAATAATAACAATAACAACAACAACAACAACAACAATAATAATAATAATAATAATAATTTATTTATACCCTGCCCATCTGGCTGGGTTTTC